TAGGTGATTTTACCGGAAAATCATGATGGTTGAATAGGACCTGAATAGGATTTATGCAACTGGATTTAGTTGGCTAAGTTGGTTTGTGTCATAGGCTAACTCGCATGTATGGCAGATATATCGAACCAGTTAATTGGGTTTTAAACCAACAAACAAAACTGGGGGACACCACAGTGTGGCTACCCTAGTGGTTCATCCCTGGCAGGCAATTGGAGGATTAGGAGATTCCGAGTCATTCCTATACTGGTCTGAGAGGTTGAACCTCCACCAAAAGTTGCAATTGAAATGGCCAGGATGTCATTCACCTGGCTGTAAGCAGGGCAAATGATGTGCACATGATGGGCAAATGGGATTGGTGCAATTGCAGCTGGGGTTGAGCCCACTAAGTAGGAAGTAGGATGAACCAGCAAGTAATCAGCTCGGACTCATCCTACTCATCAAGGATGAATGGTTTACCAAGCTAAGATCTGGCCTTTGGGTGTGCCAATGGCCCAGAATCTTGGCTATCCCGATTTACCCTTTACCAGTTAGTACTAAGTCACTAACCCCATTCATCATATTCCAATAGAAATCACCAGTGATCATAGACATGGCCACAACTGGCTCAGCTGCTAAGCTTTATATCACCCAAGGCGCCAAATGCGTGTCGTTGAGTCTTTGGGTGATAGATCCTGCAGGCCCAGCAGCACACAAGGCCTCCTAAAGTCAGAACAGCAGACGGGAGTCCGACATACAACCCAAAGTGAGGGCATCATCCTAAGCAGAGTAAGATGGAAAGTAAATGAAACACATATTTATGTGTATATATATATATATTTATAACATTTTAACACCATAAACCGGATCAGAATAATTAGTACAGAATCCATGTTCGATGTTTTCTAGCTTGTACGGCAAGGACCCTCTAGTTTGGCGGACACTCACCAAGGAAACTGAGTCCAAGCTGACATTCACCAAGGAAACCGAATCGAAGCACCATAACTGCTGTGCAAATCTGATGTAACATCCATCACCATATCAGAAATCAACTCATCCAATGGCGTGGTTTTCATGATCTAAAGTAAGGTCAGCCAGTGAATTAGCAAAATGTTGCCTGATTTGGCTTTTCTACAGCGTAGGAACCCAAAAAATCCATGATCATCATGTCCCTACAATTTCAAATCTTCGGTCCATCTTGACCAAGAAGGCTCAATTTTCCCGGCGTATGGAGTCGCTATCTTTGGCAATCAAGAAACACGCATATTATAAACAATACCGACAATACCCCGAAGTTCAAGCTTATCACTTGGCCCAGCAGCTCAGCATGTTGCTAACAAAATACAACTACTGTAGCAGTACCAGTTTGGTTGTATTGCTATATATATATACACAGTATGTGCAGTATATACACCTGTGTGCCACACAGTGCCCGTTATCAAGACTATTCAAAAACAACTAAATAAATAAATAAATAAAATAAAATGTATATATATATATTATAAATATCATCGCTATTAACGTAAACCATCACCTATCCCCATTATTCACACCTATTAACCCATTAACAATAGACCATCACTCATCCCCACCACTCAAACCATCATCCCCATTGTTGGCAACTATAATGACACACTCTTTTAAGACAAGTCGCAAGGCCCGTCCCCGGTACCGCATGCCGCCCTGGCGCCGGCGCCAGGTTCGCCGGCGCCTCGCCCGGCTGGCGGCGCCAGGGCGAGGTGCCGCCCGGGGCGGTGCTGGACATGGAGGGAACCTGACGGTTCCGTTGATTTGCGGGGAAAAGGTGAGTTGTAAGTAGGTCATCCCAGGTTACCCTCTGGTAAACATTGACATAGCTATTGAAAGATCCACCATGCTTTTAATGGGAAAACTCACGAAATCAATGGCCATTTTCAATAGCTATGTTAGTTTACCAGAGGGTAAGAAGATACTAACTTAATAGTGTTTTTTACTAGTCATAGTCATATAGGTATTGCTAGTTCATTGCCAATGGCCATTTCAAGGACTATGTCGGACATATCCCCCCAAATATGTTGTATATGATGCAGTACCTCAATTTCCAGGATTTAGGGTTCTGAAATTCTCATTGATTAACTATTTCTTAGACATATCTAACTAGCGAATTGGGTGAAACTCAACCAACAAACATAACTGGGGGGTATCGCTTGTGGGCCATAGGGGGGTTATCCGGTAAAATTGATATAACCACCCATCATGAGGATATCATTGGGAACCCTTCAGCAAGAATTGGGGAGCATGATGCAATGGGGACGGGGCCGTTTTTACTTTTATAAATTAGAGACATGAATCTAACAAACATACAAAGATACTGTAACTCTTTTGGACCCATTAGTCATGGTATAGTTACAAATGGCATATGCCAACCCCACACTCCACGAAGAGCCGACAAAGATCTGCATGTTGGCCTGTACAGGAGTTGGGGCATCCTCCAAAAAAGAGGTTTCCTTATAGATCCTTTGGTAATTATGGTTCTGTCCCTTTCTGATTGGCAGTATTGTCTGCAGCCACACTTCACGGCCATGTAGCCGAGCCCGATCACTGCCAAGTTTGTGGGTCACACACAGGGCACCCTAAAATACCATGTTGAGCATCATTCTACCCAAGGAAAACTACAATTTTGGGGCAACCCCCATGTTTTGGACACAAACAAACCCACACCCATCATTGGCAAATTGCTATTTAAATTTATGATCCTTGAATCATCTTAAATCTACATCTTGGGTGGAAACATGTCGCACCATGGATGGATCCAGGGCACCGGGGATGGACTTCTGAACTGCAGCGGCGCCATCTGCGCCATCTGCGCCATGGCCATGGCCATGGCCGCCGGAGGTGGCGAGGGCGAGCGCATGGGACGGTGGCCGCAACAGGGGGAGCCCACCGGCGAGGGGGACGTCGGGCGATCAACCGGTGGCTCCGCCTTTGAAAAGCCAAAGGGGGTGATGTGGGAAGGGCAGCAAAATGGAAACAATCTTCCAAGTGTGTGCGCGTCAGCATATTATGAAGTAGTAAGTATTAATTCTCAATGCCCACCCATCCTCCAATATGGGCATCTAACATGATACAACCATATATAACCCGAGTTTTGGCCATGGTACGTATATGTATGCTAATTATAGGAAAATGGTATAGATGAATGTAATAAATGCGCATGTTCATACAGTATACATGCACAATTACGCTAAATATAGTGATCGGTTGCCTGCGCAATCATGGGCCCGGACGGCCAGAAACTGCTGGAATCAAAGATTTTGGAGGGGTAAAACACATGATTGACTGTGCTACATGAGAGATAAGTGGAGAAATGTAAGCAACAAAAGGGGTTACCTCCCAGCAAATCCAAGATGACCAAAAAGTCACCACATTTTCCTGACTTTGCTCCTGTTGGTTGTATCCCAGTTATATCACCATTTGTAATATCTAGAATATATCAAAGAACAATGCAAAATTTTCTCCCCGTCTATCCAATGCAATCGCGGCTCGAAACTCCGAAAGCCCGGCTCTGGAGTTCGAGATACAGGTGTGCTGGGCAAATTGAAGGAAATTGCCATGGCCTTGGCGAAGAAGCCATGGCAAAACACCCAAAAAAAAGCCGAATTTTCATTGTCTGACCTGGATCACTGGTGTAAGGGAAAAAACTAGAGGGAAACCATGGTTTCTACCTTCTCCTCAAATCGCTCTGTTTTAAACATATTCCGGGAATGGAAACCCAAACAACGGTATGAAATGGCAAATTTCAACGCACAAAATGATTTTCCAAAGCCAGTTTTTGGGGGACTGGGGGTGTCTGCCTTGGTAGTTTACTGTAATATTGCCATCTGTTCTACAACCCGCCCGGCAAGAAAACCCGCGACTTGCCATCTTCAGTGTACTTATTTCAAGTATCCACTACTATACCGACTATACCCATGAAATATATCTTAATTCACTCACAAAAACGATTAGCTTGCCTATCGTTATAGCTCCTGTAACTAATGTATAATTGAATGTATAATTATATATATGTATAATTATAACATATATATATTATTTACTTATTTATACTATGTAGTAAAAACAAACAGATGGTAAATCTGGATCCATTATGTCCACTGGTTATGGGTTCAACAACATGTTTCTTGATTTCTGGTTAACTCCTCATACAGAATCCGCCAGATCACCCGGCCCCTGCTTCACCCCCAATTTAGGGACCCTCAAATCCTGTTGTTGATATTGTACGAATTCCATCATACTCCATGATATCGGATTGAATTCAGGCATACATCACAATCATATGGTATTCCATTATTCGTGTTATATATACATATATATATATATTACTATAGATGTAAATCCCACTACAGTATATATGTCATATTTGTATCATCCAATACATTAGAAAAGCACCATGAGATATGTTATATTCCATTGCAGACTGTGTCCATATCCCTATCCTGTGCTTGGAAACTCAATTCGTGGCTGCTTGGCTCCCAACAGCTCCCTCCAAACCGCCGGATAAACTATCCATTGCTAATATACATCCATATCCCCACTTGTGGTTGTCACATGACCATTTATTGCCGTACTCACAAGTCACTATATATATATATATATATACACACATATTTACTCCGTATGTAAACCTATATGCACATATACATAAATATACTGTATGTATACAAAATATAATATACACTATTATATATATATATGACCGTGTATATAGTGAACGGCCCGGTTAACTTGTATGTGTCCTGGGTATAAACTAACAAAATCAAACAACCAATATATATATATATATATATAGATATACACATATATACATACATATATATATATATACATCCATTATACATACAATAGAAAGAGGCCCTAAACAAGTTTGATGACTTACTCCCGTTTCTGCCGCAACGTCACGGGCACTTCCGGCAGCACCGGAATTTCCAGGCGCGGAGGGCTCAGTGCCCGCCGCGGTGAATGTAGTGCTGTCATGGCGATCCACGAAACGGAGCACTCGTGGGGTGAATATGGCTGGAATAACTGGTATGATATCAATATATGTTAATGTTGGATGTTGGATGTTGGATGTTGACCAGGTGGATCTTGACATGTACAATATGCATGTCAACTCTGCATAATTCATAACTACCTCACTGCACTGGAATGAGGGTTAGGATATTGCAGGTTGGTGAATTATTGAAATATATTGAAATTTATCGAAATGATGGTCACACAATGTTACACAGAGATAGAGGTGAAACCCACTAAAATCTCGAGGATGAAAAGGGTGGAAGTACACATCGCGTTTCAAACCGGACAGTGGCAGTCCCACCAGCGGTGGTTCTGTCCTCATTGAATTCCAGGATATCCCAAGGTCATCCCTGGTTACGAGTGAATTACTGTCTATAGATCATGCTAAATCACATACATGGCACATATTGAGAAAATAGATCTACACAATTATGTGAACTCTACATATTGCCATACCATTAATTAGTAATCTTTTCTGACGGTTGCCTGATGCCTGCTACATAGCTCACGCACAAAAATGTGAATGAAGTCTGCGATTACTCGGTGATGGTCATACCGTAACTCCCAGGCCGTGTTGACCGCGACCGCTTTGGGTCTATGTGGCACGGTCATCAGCCCACAGCTGCGGCCATAGAGTCTTAGAGTCTAATCACCTGAAATTGATATGATACGGTGCACCAGTTCGTGGTGTATAGCATTATTTCTTTGGGGTTCAACATGGTTCAACCATCGACCATCCGTTTGGTGGTGCAGGATTTCTTCCACAGTATCACAAGCTATCGGCTGCTCGATCATCACCCCGGATTGGAAGGAAAATTCCCAGCACCTGACTGTTGGAAAAGCAGCAATCAAGGAAGGGCCCAACAGCAACCCTGCTGGCTTTCTTGTTACTTTCTTGGGCCTTGTTTTTTTCGACGAATCTGTTGGATACAGATTTGTGAGTTTTCTCCACTGGTCCCCAGCTTTTCTTCAGGTCTATTTAGTGCATGTCTAAAGTGGAATCCACAATAATCATGTTGGAGGAGTGGAAGGCTGCATGCTTTCTCTACGGTTGATGAAACAAAGATGGGCTGTTTCAGGCTCTTTCTGGGAAATATCAAAACATGCGAAATGCTAGAACAACTGCTTTGCCTAGGGAAGCATGTTCCTACATCAAAATGTTCAAAAGTGAGCCGAGCAGCCAATGACCACACGGTTCACCAAAGTATGTGTCTTCTCTCCTGATTCAAATTTCTTTCAGCCCAAGTCTGTAAGATTTCTTGCCACCGGTCACGAACGGCAGCTTTTGAGCACGCGAAAGGCGGGCCTCCCAGCTGACGGGTTAGCTTTCCCTCTGGCAGTCATTTAACATCTCATGTTGCTATGGAAAATGGCAATCTTTAATAGGTAAACCATCTCCACACCTGCCATTTTCCATAGCTATAGGCTATGTTAGATTGAGGGTGCCATTTGATAAACCCGCATTATTCAATCTTACATGATGTGACATGTATATAATATGCATGAAAAGTGCAGCTGAACTTATAACTTGTGCTACCTGTAGGTATTCTCTCAGACCCTATCTTCGCAGGTCAACAGGGCGTGCCCTGCTTGTGATGCTGTTGGGCACATGTCCCAATGACATTGGCGAGCGACGCCTCTAATGATACAAACAGATTTCTACAAATCAAGGCCAAGGGTGAGCAGAAGGTCGGAAGGCTGAGGTGGTACTTGAACTTGAAACTCTGCTCTGTGTCCAAGTGCGATGGTTTTTAATCGAATGGAACGCATCGATCATACGAAGCACCGCTGATCATATCCGAATTCACAAACACCTAATCTGGTTGGTGGTATACCTACCCCTCTGAAAAATGATGGAGTTCGTCAGTTGGGGTGATGACATTCCCAATATATGGAGAGTCGTAATCCATTCATGTTCCAAACCACCAACCCGTTGCTGTTTTGGGTAAGTCATCCCCAAGATATGTCTTATCCAAGCCTTCCATCCACAACGCTTCCTGGCACACAACGCCCTGCTGCTTTAAGCAGGGGAGCCGGGACCCCCAGCTTAAGCTGATGTAAAGGTGTTCAAAGTCCGAGGTCCATGTTTGAAACCTTAATGCTACAATGGGGATACAATCCGAGATGGAAATCAAACTAGAATCACATTGATTGGTTTTGATTGGTTTGCGAATGGTACCGGGAATTGTTGGGACCCAATCACCAACCAGCTCCGAACTTTCTAAAAATCAGCCACCGCTTAAATCCAATCAACCCACTCAGAAATCTCAGAATCTGTTGACTTCAAACTGCCAAATTCCCTTCTGGCAGTCGTAATCCAAGAACTTGCAGGTCTTATTTTCCTCTGTCATCAGCCGAATCTTCTCCTTGTAATCCTCGCGGACCTGGTGGCGCTCCAGGCACATGAAGTGGATCATCGTTAAAATCCACCATCCACTAGCTATGTGCAGCTATGTAGGAGCCCAATAATAAAGATGGTAAAACATAATTTTAAAAATTATAAAAAATGGATTATATGGCATTATATGGATGGCTATGTAGGATTCTATGGATACCCTACATAGCAGGTGGTAACCCCAATCATAAACTTTAACCATCCCCAATAGAGTCGATTATCGGGTATGCCGGTATGCCATGGTATGCCCCTATGACTGGGATGATCTTTATTATATTTTATTATGACCCCCGCATAATGGTTTCCCACCTTACCTCTACTAGTGACTCACTAGTGCTCGTGGGAAACGACCCCATAACATCAAATATAGGGACGTTTCAACAGATTTGCACCCTCCAACAAACAGAGACATGAGAAATCCGTAGTAAATTTTGAAAGTTAGGCTTACGGGAAGTAAATAGATAAATCATGATAAATCTAGAAATTGGATTCTCTTCTGCCCATGGGGCCATGGGGATCACTAGTAATATGTAAAAATATCACCAGTTTAGCCGCTTAGCCCCATGACTAGTCGTCATTTGTGCATGGACCTCATGACCTCCATTTTGAGATTGACAACTCCTCATTTCAATTGTTTCGAACCTCAATCTGACGCGAGAATGTGAAATTGAAATTCGTTGCTCAAACCAAAACTACTTCAACGGGGTCGAAAGATTATCGCATACATTGACCATCTTCAGCCCTCAGATCCCTCAGCAATCGACCAATGGATCGTCCATTAGCAACTCGCCCGGAGCAAAGCAATTGAACATCGTGACGGTGGCGGGTTTGTTCAAGCCGCAGCCTGCCTGACTTCGTGCGCGCATGGTTCAACTGCCCTGGGGGTAGCCTATTTTCACAGAAACCCAAGTGATGTCCCGAAGCGAATCGATGGATTGTGGTGGATCCTGCGATTTTGGCCTTAAACAAAGCGCATTGAACAAGTTATGCGTGGCGGATTGGGTGGAAGGTGGTGAATCAAGGTGCTTAATTAATAACAGCAGAGAAAACAAGCATTGTACTTGAAAATTCTGGCTTTCTACATGGTTAATCTCCAAGTTCTAGCCGAGTCTGACCTGATGATATCTCAGCACTAAGACCACTCCTACTGCTGCTAGATTTCCTGCATGGGACTTTCACTTGCACAGCAAATCAGCCAACATTTCACTGATGCTTGGTTCCCAGCTTAGACTTCTTGGTGACCAAAAAACACATGGTGCCATTGTGGCTTCCCACACTGCTGAAGCTTTGCCGGGACGCCGGAGGCTTCTTTTTGGGATCAGGGTAGACCAAAATGAAACCTCAAAGGCTGAAGAAATCAGCCCAGGCAAATCTAAACTTGTTCGACCCGTCCGAACCTCAAGTGCAGAGTGCAAAGGAGAGACATTCAACCATACTGTAATGAGCACAGTTTTTTTTGACCATGCAACACCTTTGGAGCATACACTCTGGTTATTTAACATAGCTATGAGTATGGAAAGATCGTGATCGGTAAATCATCGAACAAAATATGCCATCAAAAAGCCATAGCTATGTTGAATTGCCCGAGAGTATCCCCAAATGCATCCCAATTGTATTATCCCATTATCATCCCATTGCATGGCCACTTGCATACCAATTGTATGTGGTAACCCCTTCACCGGGATGGTTAAAACCAACACAAGCCCGAGCCTTGCTGGTCCTTTTTCACCTAAAAAAATAACTCCCAAACATTAAAAAACCGGGGGTTCATTCTTGGGCCCCAATTTCTTCGTTCTTTTCTCACCTGCCTTTTTTTGGGGGATATGAATCCCTCTTCATGGAGGGTACCTCCTTCCATCCACAGCGCACGAATGATGTTCCGACAAAAAATGTTGTCATTTTGGGTTATATATATACACCTCTGGTAAACATACAAAAAACGATGGGAAATCACCATGTTTAATGGGTAAATCAGCGATAAATGGCCATTTTCAATAGTTATGTCAAATTACCAGAGGGTATTTATTTCATCGCCATTTTCAGACACACCCAACCATCATATCATTCATAGATATTCATAGTATCCCATGATTATCCCTCAATCAAATCCCATTGCATCACCACCGCATATTTCAACAATGTTTTCAAAATGTTCCGGAAATCCCAATGATGGATAACAAATCTAAAAGTCTTAACATGTTCATATTCCATACGGTTCATGCTTCCAATGATTGGTTTTAATTTCCTCCTAAAATGCCCATGTTTTACGGTACTTGCAATGAATTTCATAGGAAAAATTATGGTTTCCGCTTAAGATTTACCAACCTCAGTCGAGGCACCTTTCGACAGCACGATGTCCCGCTGCACCTGGCAAGGCTTTTGAGGGGCATGCCACTACGGTAAAAGCAACGCTTTTTGAAAAATGGCATTGAATACATAAAATACATATCCATGGCATATAAATATAGACATAGTTATATATATATATAGTTAACATCACTATACTATAACCATCAAATATCCATGTAAAAGGTGCTTATATATATAATGATGACAATAATAATACAATATACTGTGAAATATCCATGTAAGCTGAAGGAAATAGTGAATAACATGGAGATATGGGAGATAGCATGAGGAATACCGCCACTCATACATTCATGTAAATTCCTATGCGAAAACAACACATCAATATCAAAACTGTTCTGTCCTTTGGAGGGTGCTATACTCGACGACTGGTAAAAATATGTAAAAAGGATATCTACAGCCGTGAAGGCTTTCAAGCACAGTTTCAAACGTTGCATGTTTGCATGCAATGTCCAGGTTCAAGTTCGGAGAGAGAAAAACACGTCTCGCACCGAACATGGCACCCAAAAATCCACTGGTTTGGCGATTTCAGTTTCCCCCTAAACTCTAAACATTGCCAAATATCTTGAACGCAAATCACCCAATTTGTTGAACAAAATTCCTTGATATATATATATAGCTGTATTTCTTTTATATATAACTATTGGTCCTTAAGAATGTGCTAAACAGAAAAAGCAGGAAACCCCTATTTTCATCATTTTCCCCTGGGTTTTCATGATTGTTTACCCATTATCATCTGTTTAAAAAATAGTTAGAAATTTTAATCTGATTATTTCATCTGATTAAACTGTTTCATTTTACCCATTCTTATGATATTTTACGCCCTATTTTTGCGGGGGTCGACCTCAGCCGGCTCGGCTGAGGGCGCCTCCACTTCGCTGCAGTCGGTGAGACCGTGGAAGATGACCGAGCCAACGCCCTGGCGAGTGACCTGGGTGGGAGAAGCGTCGGTGGCAGAAGAGCTGCAGAAATGTCATGAAAATCTGGGGATATGGGTATACACATATATAATTGTAATATATATATATATAATAGGATATGAGTATGACTTAATCAAATAGTGGCATTATGGGGTATGAATGAGTTTTTCACAGGGATACAGCTAACAGACTAATATGATATTTGGCTGTGCCTGAGAATGGGTTGGATGCCGTCTATAGCAATTAAAATACGGAACGTTAAGATGAGCCAGTGGATGGAATGGGCTATCCTATTTTCAGACAAACCCATGTGTGGATTAATTCAAAGCCTGTTTGCGCAATGAACATCAAGAAACCTTGGGATGTGGGAAACCACAGCAGTAGAAAACATAAGAATTTGAAGCATTGGCGAAATCGCGAGAATACACGACATAATGAGGGGAAATTATGGAAAGGAGCTACACATGGGACACCTCCAGAGGAGACTTCTGAACCTGGGTGACGTCGATCACTTGACTGTTCCGGAAGTTCAGGAGCATGGATTTTGGCCAACAACCCAGCTGGTTTTGAACATCAATCCGGATTGATGTAGGTGAACAATACACAAATTAGCCTCAAGTCATGTGAGATAAAGGGAAAAAGGATTCACACTGGAATCACTGCTCACCAGCATCTGCAATGAGGAGCTCCGTGCCACGCTTCGTACCCAGTTCAGAACTTGCCTCCCCTAATTTATGCCATCATCATCTCTGCTGGCAATCTAACCTGGCCCGGCAATAGTGAATATGTGTTCAATAGGAAATGGATCTACCCAAAAAACGGTTTTCCATGGCCATGTTTGACAGCTTGTATGTAATGTGGTAAGCCCATAATATACCGTCCCAAGCAGCCATGGGGGGGACATTTTACATCATACCAAATGGCTATACCATGGTATACCCAATCTTCTACCCCAAATTGGGATGGTGTATTCAATGTATTCTTGGCTCTTCAGCCCACATTTTCCAACAAAAAAAATCGGAATCCGGAGCAGTTCTCCCCCTATGCAGCGACTGTTCATCCCAAGCGGCAGTCAACTCGCGGACAGCTTTTAACTGCTCACGGCTCAACTTGGACAGATCTGGTTCCACGTGCAACTTGGACCTGGGCATAGCATTGAAGGTGGTGCCCCATAGATAAGTTGGTTTAGTTCAGTGCGGCAAATACCTGGTGCTAATGGTGGATGTATCTATATTAAGTTACTGTTTTTTTAACCCAAATTACAGCAGTTGGGCACCAGCCTGTTCAAAAAAATGGTGATATATCCAACAAGTACATGAAGTCGTCGGAAGATATGGATTGAGCATTTACATTTTCAAATTAGCCAAACATGTATCCAACAAAGGGAGTTGGGTACGTATATCCAAAAATATTAGTATCTCATCAAACATATGGCCCTTATATAAATATATACATATACATACACACACACGTATACGTATATCTATATATATATGTGTGTGTGTAAATATATATATATAATTATGTGTATATATAAATATAACTGTATGTATGTATATATATATATAGCCATTACCAATGACATCCCATACCCATCCCATCGCATCCAAGCAGCTCTTCCTCGTCAGTTTTCAGCGGCACCGTTTCGGTCTCCTCCAGGGATGCAGCCGCAGAGTCACGGACGACCCCAGCCTCCTAGCAGAGGTGTATAGAGTATACATCTAATATGTGTGTGTCCATCGAGGTATGACTAAATCAATGTATATATATATACATTGTATGTATTATATAGTCTGTCTATGCTATATTCATACATACATATGTATATATATATATTAATTGCATTATATTACGCTAGTACCACGTCCTATATAACTATAGTATCAACTATCACCAAATCTTGGGACCCCCATTTTTTCGATCCAATACCGAGCCAGGGGCCGTCAAGCCTGGATTAATAAACCCCAAACGGCTATTTAATTGGGAAAGTACCATAAAAAAGTATCAAATCATGACTATTGGGGGAATACCCCCCGGCCCCCTAGTTAATAAACCATGGTTTATTAATCCGGGGTTGACATTAATCCTGATTGTTGATGGTTTAAATCAATTTGTTCAATGGTTCACTTCCTGTGTCCAATAGTATTCTGACTCTCTATGATGGTTTGATCCGTACGTTTTTTTGACTAATTCCCTATGTTTGACGGCAAATAATTTCACTACTCTTGATTCTGAACATCAAATTTTTCTGAATTACGCACTAAAATTCTTAGGTGGCTTCTCGTTCACTTCCCTATTTTGTTTGCTTAAAAAACAACCAAAAAAAGCATAGAATCACCGGTTCTCCGCCCTGGCCTCCGGCCGACTGGCCGATGCCTTCGACGGAGTCGTCGTTGTCGGCGACTTGGGCACCATTGAGGCGGTGCGGCTGAGGAACATCATGACACACTCCTGAGAGGTGGGGGTTACCCCCCGGCCAGCCACATGGCTGGTTTTGATGGGGGGAAAGGTTTGAGTGGGAAAATTCACTAGACTATAAATGGTGGATTGTCCATTGTCATGTTTGATGACCGGAGGGTATAGATGGCTATAGGCCATGTGAGCAGTGATGAAGACCAAGGAATAAGGGGATGCGGACGGATGTATAGCTATATGGAAAATCAATGAGCACCACTATTTTCAATAGGTAAATCATCACATTCACATCTATGCATGAGCCATTTTTCCCATAACTATGTTTTTTTTCATAACCAGAGGGTATGGGTTTACTCTGTGATGGAATTGACATGTTTGCTGTTTGTTGGTTAAGATAGGGGGTCCCATCATTCAAAAAAACAACAAATCTGATGTTGGATGATGGACTGGGATATGCGGCGGTGCATGCGAACCACCATGGTGGCGATTTTCATGTGGCACCATTAAAACAAAAACTTCATGGTCCATACGTTCATGGTCCTTCATGGTTATTAAGATCAAGCATGGAGCCAAGTATGAAAAATGGAAACATGACATCAAGTCGGTTCCATACTTAGTTGAACCTATATAATAACCAACCACAGTTTTCCAAGTTGGTTTCAACAAATATCAGAACCATAAACGCACTAACCAACTTTGCAAACCAAGTTGGTTCCAGCAAATATCATAAACGCGTTAACAATTTGACTAAGTATTGGGCGCCAAATTATACTTCTAGATGGACATGATGTGGCCGACCGATAATAACAAACTCACCTGAAAATAACTGAAAAAATGCTATTTGACGGGAATCCCCCTACTGAGCATCATTGAAAAAGTCACGTCACGACGGTGATGTTTTCTCTGAGATGAGATGGACCTTCGCCCCACCCCTGGTGGATCGCCGGATGGCATGGCATCGTGACCGGCAAATGCAGCAGAGATAAGCAGCCAGAACTGAACATAGGCTTTGGCCAAAAAGAGGATACCCCAATTTCTTTCCTTGCCAATCATCCTTTTCCAGATGTTTGTTGGCCATGAATGCCATGAATGTGGCCCACTTAAATGTGTGAAACCACCAACATGATCTTCCATGCCATCGCTGCAGCCATGCTGCGCACCACTGGGAAAGAGATGCACAGGGATGACATACAGCTGCCTTGCGGCGAAAACCCTGACTGACAACGGAGTATACCCTCTGGTAAACTAACAGTTTGCTATTGAAAATACCCCTAGAAATAGTGGATTTACCCATGAAAAATGGTGGATCTTTCCATAGTTTTTTTGTATCTTTACCAGAGGGTAACCCCAATGTTTCTGCAATGTTAACGGGAGACATGTTGATTCACCAAATGGATTTACCACCAATTTACTGCAACTGTCAGGAAATGTTGATTCACCAATGGATCCTGGGGACCATATTTTCAAACACACCAAACCACTGATTATATACATCCAGGACCCAAATATCTCCACATTTCCAGCTGTATTCATCGTTATGCATTCAGGAATCAGGAATATCCAGGATATTTGGAGTTTTTGGGGTGGATTATTCGGTGAACGCAGGAAACATGACCTTTCGAAATTGATGGGCATGCCTGCAATTGGAAATGGCATCCCTGTAGGAATGCATCATGCGCTAAATGGGCCCACAGAACAAAAATGGTATCCAAACAGCTGGTAGGTCGGTATGCATCACCAACATCGGTGGTTTGAACACATTTCACCCAGAAAGAAGAAGATGTGGTTTACATCAAACATGGTGTTGATTTATGTTTGGAGTAAGCCCTGATTTTGACTGATAACAATGATTGATATTTGGACCATCCGTGGCTTTAAGGGTATCATGTTTCCTCCCATTCCTCGGCCATGTTGCAATGGCATCTGGCTGGACATCTGGCAATTTCCTTGTGCACATGAGGCATGGCATGGCGATTGACAAACAAGTATCTGGAGCGAACAGCTTTACAACACAATACGGGTCCGCGAATAAGGTGGCAAACTATGGTTTAACGATCCTGAATTGGGGAAAGCTATTTGATATCATTGGTATATTATATCCATTTAAGGGCTATACATATATAATGGCTATCTATCTATCTATCTATCTACCTGCCTACCCCACATACCTACCTACCTACCTTCCTGCCTGCCTACCTACCTATATCTTATATCTACCATGTATCTACCGTAAACCACAGTTAAACCATAACTTCTGGGATAACTTTCACCTTGGAAAACGTGCCGCCGAGGCGCAGCAAGGCCTTGACCCTGGACCTCTGCAGGGCGGAGATCCGCGTCACGTCCAGCGTCCCCAGGCGCTGTGGCAAGGCCTCGCTGAGCAGCTCCGGCAGCGGCGCCTCGGGCCATGGTGAAATAATGATATAACATGTACATGTTTTAACTAAGGAAAATCTGGGGATATGATCTGGGAACTAGAAACACACACACACATACATACATATATATATATATATGTATATTTGTGTGGTATTGTGAGGCACTATTGGTGGTGACGCTTCCGTTGGCTAAGTTGGGATTTCATCTAAGAATGGTGGCTTCCCCAAGTTTAAGCAACCAAATTGATGAGTTCGTCCATGAATTCCTGCAGTTTATACTTTGTTGGCTCAGTTGCTGAGTAATTACAGCTATACGGTTGATGGTAGATACATCATGATAGTTATATATTCTATAGATTTCTATGGTCTATAGCTAGATGCGTTAAACCAACTTATAACTTGGGCGTCGCCAAATGACAATGCCCGTTTCTATGGGAACATCATACAAAGCATGGAGAGAAACCATGAAATTTTCCACAGCGAGTGGCCCCTGCACCTCCGTTCATCCATGTGGAGATTTTATATCCATGGTTATAATAAAGTTATATATATATATATACATATATAAATAGTATATACATATATATTCATAATATTCATATATATATAATAACCATAATAATAATAACAATAGTAATAATAATTAAAAAAATAATAATAATAGTAATAATAATAGTAATATACAATAATAATAATAATAATGAATAATAAATAATAATAATCAACATATATAATAATTACTATATGGTAATATACATATATATTATTATATTCCAATATATCCCGTTGTTCAAGCCCAGTGGAGCCATTCATAAATAAAGTTAGCGACCTATCAGTTTTGAGGCAGGTGATGCTTCAGAAGCTTGGCTCGAATCAGTTGTATCTTTGGTTAGAAGCTGAGCCGGAAGCCAAGGCACTGCAGCAGTCACTTACCCTCAAGACCCCGAAGTCATTTTGGGACATGTTCAACATACAGATGCCAAGAACAGCTTGTCACATCCAGCTTGTCACATCCACACTCGGATTCCAATCTCCATAATCTCCAAATAGCTATTGCCGAACACATGGGGTTGATTTGCAGAACAGGCTCGAAGATATTCAAGGGAACCAACAACGGAAAAAAGAAAATCAAAACCTCAGGAGTATAAACAAACATTGCTCCTGTACTTGGCCGGCAAAATTCCATGGTTTCCTGACCATGGTCTCCTGACTTCTAGGCACCGGACCGTAGCATCTCCCAAAAGAATAGCAGTGGCTTCAAAGATCTTCAGGACCTGCACTGGTTGAACCCAGGATTTATGGTGGATTTTAGATGATTTTAGAACGCATTTCATATCTTAGTTATGTTTCTTTTTTTTTTGAAATGTCAACATTCAATCTACTCCAGGATGATTTTATACATGCCTGCATAATTATATGTATAGCTTTCATTTATTTATAGATATAACAGAGATTATGAACCAACAAACATAACTGGCATGATCCCTTTCTGGCATCGCCTGTGGTGGAGGTGACAGCAACTTTCGCAGCTCGCGGAGGTTGCGACCCGAGACCTGTGTAGCAATGCCTCGGTTCCCGGCTATCGATGGTGGGATTTGGTCATCCCATCCTAAATCCTAAGGGATTCCTTACAATAACCATACACAGTATATACATAACCATATAGTATATGCATGTATGTGCATCTATATGCCATAAAGACATCCCTAGTATAATTATCCCCATGGATTGATGACCATCTCTTGTTACGAAAGAATATGTTTAACGGATTTTAACGGTAAACGCAATGCAAGTCCATGGGCTCCAGGTAAAAATTTTCCCGTTGAGGCTGAGCTTGGAATGTCAACGAAAAAAACCGTTTTATTGAAACCAAAGTAGCCGTGAAGTTATGCTAAAACGAATGTGGCAAAGAATCACCTTGTGGACTTGTGGGCCTGGGTTTTCGGCGGTGGCTCACAATGTTTTACCTTGGGTTCAAAACCCGTTCACTTGTACAAGCAACTGTGGTTGCAACTTGGTCATCAGGCTATATCAGACATCACGTATTGCACCAGCTTCAGGAATGGAAAGCGACAGTGCACAGCAAAAACATGAAACTCAAAAAAAATATGAAATAGTTAGGGATCAAAAGCAAGCCAACTACATATCTATAAATTGACATTGCAAAAATAATACCTCAGCCAATCATCAAGCATTAGAAAAAAAAACATCCACCCAGTTTCAAAGCCCACCATCACCTCAGAATACTGCATACTATATCGAACAATTGAGGCATCCCCATTTTTATAATCTGGCACATGGCAACAGAACCTCTGTTCTCATCCATTCCAGCCATGCTTGATTACGGGTCCATGAGCCAAACCCATTGTGGCACTGTAAAAAAAGAAAACGGTAGTGTCATGGGACATCGTCCAAAAAAATGGCCCAAGAAATCATCTCACACACTTAATCTGAGATCTAGAAACCACAATAATAACCCATGTTCACCAAAACTGCGCCATAACAATCAATTGCTCTTGTTCAACTAGACAGTCTTAGACTCACTAGACCCACACAAATGCGATGTTTGTCGCCAAGCCCGATCATCGGGCATAGCAGCAATCACCATATTTCTTGACAAATAGCCTCTGGTAATCAAAAGTTTGCCAGAAAATCACAAATTTAGTTCGAAGATTTTCTCATTTATATAAATGTGAATTTCGTTCCGGGATTTGCCTGCCAGCCATGTGTGATGACACTTTTTTGGTAAATCACCATCACAAATCACAAAGAAAAAACATCATCCCAATACTATCCAATACTTCCATTAGAATCCCATTAAACCACCATTTTCATTGTAAAACATAGTTAAACCATTACTCCTCTAAATTGTGTCGCATTTCACACCCCTGAAATTAAAGTATCTACCTCTTCCCCGCCCATCATTTGTTGTGAGAGGTTCTTGTTAGGTCGCGAAAAACAAACTTGCCCAACATTTCACAGTGTAGGATCCATTATGATCCATTAATCCCTACTAATCTTTGTTAATCTTCTTGAGAATCATCCCATTGATTCAACCCACCCCATGTCGAAAAAACAGCAAAAAAACAATTAATTAATCCCATCCCCTTAAAAATCCTATCCTATTAATTAACCAACAAAAAAACATTAAATACTCCCCAATGATCCAATTGTTGGTGAAATTCTCCCATGATCTCGTGTTCCAAGTGGCGGCTCAGCGCCTTGCTGCAGTGTTTCGCTTCCTCCAAGAATTGCACCGAATTGGACACGGAGCCAGTGGCTCCTGTTGGGTGCCCGGCAACAGCCCGAAGAAGCGGGAGGCTGCCATGAAGTTTACAGGGAAAACATCGGGAAATGCGTTGATTTTGGGAGTGTACCCTGGGCTTCACCATGCTAAAGTCTTAGCTTGAGAAAAAAATGAAATGATAGTAAGATATTCAAGAATTTCAGCAACATTTGGTAGCCTTCAAAAATCCCAGCTTTGGGTTCCATCACGTTGAAACCACGACAGCTCCACCTCTCAACTTCACTTTCTCCGGTGAGACAAATATCTCCGACGAAACAACTATGCCAAGTACTTGAAGGAGCTACCAACTTCGAAAGAGCGCAGCCAAGTATCTTCTTGGAGAAGTCCGTCCCCTGGGACTGGCGCTGGGACTCTTCGACGCTCGGCTCTGCCGCTGTGTCAGCTCTGGTCCTGGCGGCCCCGGCGACTGCGCGTCTGGCGCGTGCGGAGCCGGGGGCGGGGGCGGTGGGGGCGGCTCGGCGTTGGGGGCGGGGAGGGTGGAGGAGGTGGCAGGGAGTTCCAAGTCGTCGTCCGGCTGGGCATTCGTTGGAAAATCCTCAGCACAGGATGGATGAAAAAACCGGAGAGGGTTAGATTGCGAAAGTTAAGGTAGCAACTCATATGGAAGCTGAAGCCTCAAAGATTTGGTTCGGTTGGCAATAATCTTTGGGTGCCAAAAGAATAATGGAAAAATCAAGCTGCAGAATGCCATTTTGGCCCAGATGTGAATGTGCGTAATTGGCGCTGCTTGGTGCCCTGCCAACATGTTCAAACAACTTCTCAACTTGCTTAAGTTGTGTCAGATGCGCCTGTAGCAAGCTGAACAATGGTCTGCCTTTATGCTGACTGTTTGGGTCTGTACTGTCCAACATTGTCTAGCCTCGTTCGAAAACCTGAGGAAGGAAAACACATGAATTGTTAAGGCACTGACATGACCTGCCGGTACTTTGATGTGGATCCCTCTTACTACAAATTCTGTGTAAATACTGTATAATTCTCTCTTACAGTATTATCATATTGATGATCATAAAACATATCTATATATAATTAAATATATATGTATATATTCATAGGATTTTATCTACCATCACACCGATGCAACCGTTTTAGTTCTATATTAGGCCTTGAAAATTGCTATAGTGAGACCACCATATGCGATTGATCGATAGTTGCTTCTGACCGCCGGATTGGTTATTTATCAATTATGTTTCATTCACAATTCCCTCAATTTGGTGTTGGTTCGAATTCCATGAGATCCCATGAAATCCCAAAGTCTCCGATCATATCCCCACTCTTGGTGGCTAAGTCACTGTTGTGGCCATATCCATGATACTTAGACCCTCCAAGTCCCCACTAGGTAAAACATGGTAAAAGTCTCAAAATCATGATAAACCATTGGTATATTACAAGATATTACAAGTTATTACCACTTTGTTCATCTTTTTCTAGCTACTACTTGGAGGGTAAATCATGGTAAATCTATAAAGATCCACAGCCAAGGCACCCTTCTCTCTGACATCGCCTTGGGCGTTGTCCAGCCATCCGCCGCGGTCCCCGCCGCGGACGCCGCCGTGCCCTCGCGGGGCACCGTGGTCGCGGCATCCGCGTCAGGGCGGGGCAGCTCGGGCGCTGGGCAGGGCCACCTGGGCCACATCTTCCGGGTGTGGTGTGCATCTAGGGGGTTCAAAGTGACATTGGGGATCGCCAAAAGTGGGTTTCAATACTAAAATGGTCCAATTTTGGATGATTTGGGCCAATTGGGTAATTAAAGAAATATAAAGACATTTAAATATGGTAAAATTACCGCCCCTTGTGGGGCGTCATTTGCCTACAATTGGTTGGGGCAACCATGTGGAACTATATGGCTATCTATAGCTACATCAAAGGGCATCTTCCAAAGTTATTTGACTTTCAGAAAGACTGGTGAATAAGGCTCCTCCAAGGTGTTGAGCCCCAGTTGTAAGCTATAAGTTGGTTTATAAACCCCATGAGATATATCTACGATAAACCTTAGTCAACCTGGTCACATATAAACCAGCTTATCTAGGGGGCCCCACCTTGCAAGTTATCCGCAAGTTCCTATGAAAGTGGCTTATCCCACTTATCCCCACTTATAACTGGGTGAGCCCAACAATCACTATATATATGATAATATATGATCGGTTGGTCAATCGGGTAAACCATCAAGTAAAGCAGCTAATAGCACTTGGTGAATGTGATTAACGGCCATCGGTCGAATTTCCAGGGACCCGGTGGCTACGAAAAACCACTCCAGAACCAGGGCAGTTTACGGGAGCTTCGTGGCTGGTGTTTTTAAATCTCAACATTCTATAGGAGATCTGGGCGCATCACAAGAAATACACAAATCAATCCATAGAAATCCAACGTCTCCATGGTTGTAGAATCATTTCCACATATAATCCCTACATGTTATCAGAATATTATGCTTGAATAACCACGGACTAACCACAAATAAGCCCATGGTGCAGGATAATCAGGGCCATAATTTTTGCGCCATCGCCCACTCATCATCCAGTGCACCTCTTCAGCGCTTCCAACAAGCCGCTTTCCCGAACTGCTTTGAACGTCTCCTGAAGCGGTGATTACTGTGGGGATCTTATCACAACCATCAATATGGATATCAAACATCTATTGTGGAAGCTATATGCAAATATCACAAACATGGACTGATTCACCATATTTTGAGCAAGCAATCGAACTCCCAGAAGGGACCAACTGTTCAAACGGATCACCAAAAAAACAGCCAGCTAGAGCATTCTGATGTGCAGGGGTCCCGTTGCACCTCCTCAAGATCATCACAGTATCACCGAACAACTTCATCTTAGCCTTTTTCTCGTGTTTTGTGGTGCCCGATAGTGGAAGCACCATTTTTGCCCATGGTCCCTTCCCTTGTCCAGGATCCGTGGTCATCTGCCGCTGCTGATCCCACAAATGGAAATTACATAAGTCGAATCATCCAATTTTTTCGGGGTGAAAAACAACGAGAAAGATCTCAAACCAGCCAATACACCCATGGTACGCTCCAGATCTGGCACCATCATCACCGTTGATATCCGCTGCATCACCGTTTACAAAAGGCTTCGCAGCCAGCCACGTTTGAGCAGCCAACGTCAACCGGACTCGAAATTGCTGCCAAAAGAATAATCCTGTCATAGAAATATCATGAAGCCTGGCACCTTCGGGTCCCAAAACCCAACAGCCAATTGTTTTTGCCTATTACATTCCTATATATATATATTCTTATTTGATGATGCAGTCTCCTCCTGCTCAATCTACCCATCACTGCTGGTTCAAAGTTCCAAGTCTCATTTGTGGTAAAAAAAAACTCATCTCTGCTGGGTGAATCACCAAGTAGGGTTTAGCCCCACGACGTTGTTCTCTCGTTGGTTTGTAAGCATCATATTGGGCTCATTGTAGATGGGTCTATCAAACTAATTAACGGCGAGATTCTGGTCTAAACCAACTTCTACTTGATATATCCGTAGTTCATGGAGTTTATAAACCCACTTACCCTGACTATTGGAATTTCCGCCATTTACAGATGATTTTCTCTCCCATCAACCTCGATTCATGGGGGATTTCCCCACGACCGGTGAGGTCCTGCCGCAGCTGCGCTTTTCGTAGGGCGATGCGTTTCTCGCTCTGCAGGAGCTCATTGGCTGCGATGGACTTCGCCTCCTAAAACGAAAGTGTGGCCACCGTGCGGCCCGGCATTGTAACAATGATGACCCATAAAAACAGAAGCTGAATACCAACATATTCCAAAATATTGCTCACCTTGAGCACCCATAAAATGGAGAGACAGTAGCGTAGATCTTTGAAAGTAAAAAGGTTGGGATATTAAACAAAACCACCACAAATTCTATGGCTATCTATTTCAACAAAAATCTCAAAAAAGCATCCTTCGGCGTACTGCCAGTTTTAACACAAAAAAATCTAAAAAGGATAACTGTGAAACAATAGAATTCAATACAATTCAGATACTTTCGATTTTTCTTCAAAAGAAAAAATGTGCAAAACATGGACCCTCGAAGTATAATAATAGATAATAATCTAGAAAAATCGGATCATGTATTGTATACCTACTTATACCTACCAAGTGGGGGACTTTTATTCATTTTCATGGCCACTTGGAAGCTCTAAGTAATATGGCTATCCCATGGATCCTGCAGGCGTTGCAACTGCTGGGCCAGCGCATCGAAGCGAAACTGCGGCTCCGGCGGCGCTTGCGGCGCCGCAAGCTTCGCCGGCGCTGCAAGGTGCGTCGGTGCGGGGAGGATGGCCACTGGGGCACCGTTCAGCCAGCTGCGTGGCGCCTCGATCCGCAAGTCACCTGCATGGGGATGGGGACATTGATGGGGGAAACTGGAAAATCCTGTTTGGAAAGGATCTAGAAATGGATGCAGCTGAGTAACTAGTTGATTTTCCATATTATATATTTTATATTTATTTTATAATATATATATATGGAGATATGTTCGTTTACTGGAGGCCAAGGATCGGGATGAAATCGGATGGATTCAGTGCAAAATCTTGAAGAATTTGGATTTGAGCCATTGACAATGGGATCTGCAAGCAACACTAGTGAGGGTAGAGATGGTAGAGTGCGTGCACATGACAACGATGATACTTATGACATCAGGATGTAAGCAAAAACACATAGAAGAGTCATAGGACATCATGTGCCACACTCAGCAAGACTTTGCCATCGTGGTCCGCCGCATGAACATCTAAACAGTCAGCCAGCAGTGATTCTTCCGACCCAAGTCACGAGCACTATGGGTCAGGGATGCTCGTGGTGATGGCGGTAAAGGAGTGACTGGCCAGGGTGTGGCCGGCCAACCAGGTCTGACCTGCACACGTAGGCGACACGGCCTGGTGGCAAAGGGGATTCCCTTGGTTTTTGTGTCTCACATGGTGAGTTCAAAAACTGAACAATATTGAACCTTTGTAATCACATGTGATCATGAACTTGAGGATAATCATGCAAGCGTTCTGGTACAATAACGTTTTTTTGTGTATATACACTATATTGTTATAGAGGTATATTCATATCTAACAAATTTACCTCGGGCATCCCAGGAATTATCCCATGAACACCGCTTCGGTGATTCTGGATGAAAAGGCAGCGGTCCTACGAACGCTGCCCCTGCTGGATTTCCAAGCCATGGCCACGGAAAAATGACCAGACCGAATCATAAGTAAGATTACGATATTATAAAAATCCATTCGTATTCAAAAATCCTCTTATCATATTATTATTTATACCATTACTACCCCATGTTCATCCCATCATTGTTAGTAAATTTCGTGAAGTCCTGTTTATTTGCCCAATATGCGTTTATGGTCCAATTCTGTTAGCGGGGGGGTCAATATGCGTTTAAGGTGTATCAAAAAAAAAATCGTGCGCCATGAACGCATATTGGGGAATCTAACCACTCATGTCAGGAAAACCCATTTACCAACATTTACCATGAATGCAGGGAACCATCGAAAAAAAATAGTACATGTTGCGAGGTCCATTTTTTGTGTAATATGTGTGTTTAATGTATTTTGGGTGGCAGGGACCTTAATTTCCCTTTTCAGTGTGAAATAAGATTTTGGCGGATTTCTGCCAGCTATACCAATCAACCATGTGATTTACTGGGTTTGAGGAAAAATACCATCGGATTGTGTGAGTAACCTATATCAAGAGAAAGTTCTTGTGGCAGTCAGAATATCCTGAACGTACATCAAGACAGTTTCCAAAATTTTTTGGATGTACATGATAAAACTGTTTAAAGGAAAATGAACAACATGGCAACATGTTCAAAGGATAAAATGGGGCATTTTGGAGGATGTCACTTTTGGAATCTGATGGAAATTTCGTTTTTGCGGATACCATCACAGTTTCCGAAGGATAAAACAATCTCTGAGGATCTCTAGGATGTTCTAGGATTCTAGGATATCAGCAGACCTCTGGGGGATACATTCAGAAATTTCTGGGGGTCATCAGATTTATCTAAGGATATCATGAACCATTTCCGAGAATATCAGGATTTACAGATGATCATCAGAACGTTTGAAGGATATCATGAGGAGTTTATCAGGATATCATTTTCGCGACATGCATCAGGTAATTTTGAGCACGGAAAAAGAGGCAAACACAACAAGTCAAACAGCGCGTGCTGTATGTATACAAAATAACGGCATGCTTTGTGTTTGTTTCTCCTTTGAGAATCAGATTTGCCAAGGCTCATCATTCTGACAATCTCTGGATATATCTGGTGATTGAATATCAAATACATTTGATGATTATCATCATGCTTTGGTCTATTTTAAAATAAATATAGCTTTGATGGTCAGGGATTAAACAACAAAACAAGTAAAACACACTGCGTGTTGTCTGTGTACACAATAGGGCCGTGCTTCGTGCTTGACTTTGCTCTTGGAGATTTTTTTTTTGCAACGATCGTCGTGCTGACGAACACCGGATATATCCAATGATTATTGGAATTGTCATTAACCGAAATTTCTGGTGATCGTCAAAAAAAATCTAAAGAATCCTCAGAATTTTCTGAGGATCGTCATCCTCAGAAATTTCTGAGGACCCTCAGAATTTTCTGAGGATCGTCATCCTCAGAATTTTCTGAAGATCCTTATGCTGAGAATTTTCTGGGGGTCCTCATCCTCAGAATTTTCTGAGGATCGTCATCCTCAGAATTTTCTGAGGATCGTCATCCTCAGAATTTTCTGAGGATCCTCAGAATTTTCTGAGGATCGTCATCCTCAGAATTTTCTGCGGATCCTCAGAATTTTCTGAGGATCGTCATCCTCAGAATTTTCTGAGGATCCTCAGAATTTTCTGAGGATCGTCATCCTCAGAATTTTCTGAGGATCGTCATCCTCAGAATTTTCCGAGGATCCTCAGAATTTTCGCTCAATAAGCCGTTTTTTTTCATGAAAATGTGCCAAAAAAACGCTTATTTTCAAACAAAAAAACGCTTATCGAGTGAAAATTCTGAGGATCCTGAGAAAATTCTGAGGATGACGATCCTCAGAAAATTCTGAGGATCCTCAGAAAATTCTGAGGATGACGATCCTCAGAAAATTCTGAGGATCCTCAGAAAATTCTGAGGATGACGATCCTCAGAAAATTCTGAGGATGACGATCCTCAGAAAATTCTGAGGATCCTCAGAAAAGGATCTCAGAAAATTCTGAGGATGACGATCCTCAGAAAATTCTGAGGATCCTCAGAAAATTCTGAGGATGACGATCCTCAGAAAATTCTGAGGATCCTCAGAAAATTCTGAGGATGACGATCCTCAGAAAATTCTGAGGATGAGGACCCTCAGAAAATTCTCAGCATAAGGATCTTCAGAAAATTCTGAGGATGACGATCCTCAGAAAATTCTGAGGATCTTCAAAGAGTCTGAGGATGAGGATCCTCAAAAAAAGCTGATGATTCCTCAGGAAAATCTGAAGGCTCCTCCGAAAATTTTGAGGGTTCCTCAGTAAATTTGGAGGAATCTCCAGAATTGTTTGTTTGGTAACCATCAAAAAATTCTGATATATATATATATGAAATTATGCTAATCAAGGATCAGTTTTAGTTGCAACACATCAGCTACAAAGTCCGAGGATATTTTGTAGCTGATATTTTCAGCGCAAATTGCGACTGTTTTCTGCGGATATCACCAGCATCTCATCATAACCTTTCTAAGGATATCATCGGAATTATCATCAGAAGTTTGTGAGGATTATCGGACCTGTCTAAGGATATCATCAGAATGGACTCATCAAAATTTCAGCAGAAATTTAGCACGTTACCAGCCATAAACTCTGGGGATATCATCAGGATTTCCTGATACCAGCCCAGAGGATCAGCATATAGTTTCTCATCAGGATGTCACATGATATCATATCACCAAAGTTTTCGGAGGATAACATCAGAATTTTACTATAGGGACCGTTGTTTTTCAAAATTTGAGAGCGGCAACGCTTCAAACCGTTTGGCTTTGAAAGATTGGGGCGGTTGTCCTCAGACTTGTTTGTTCGTTATTGGTGCCCGCATGCCAACATGAATATGTTGTTTCTTCATGAAGCGTTTGTTCGTTTGACTTTCCGGGATAATGATAATAACATTTAGTTGTGAGAATGCTGCTCAGGATCATCCAGCGGATAAGATGCTCAGGATCATCCAGCCGAGAAGCATGCTATAATGAGATTCCATTGCAACAAAAATAAAACTTAAATGACTATATCAACGCAGATTGGCATATAGGAAAGTGAATATTTTTGTGGTTCCGTCACTTCCAAACAGGCGATATGCAAATTTACAGTCTAATTTGTCAGAAAGGAAAACAGCAAATGTTGTTTTTCACTCTCCAAGAACTCAAAACGCATATAGCGCAATCATTATCAGAAAATTGAATAAACCTTAAGCTCAGGAATGGCAAGATCTGACAATGTTTGCGGGTTGAATGTCCGGGCAAGGTCCTGCACATACCACCGGGAAAACCACTTGCTCAATATGCGTTTCCAACTTAGAATCATCGAAAATTAAGCGCAAAAACCTTCCATTTTGAGCTTTCATGTAGTCAAAACGCTTATTGAGGGTCCACCCTCAGAATATTCGCTAAAATTAGGGTTCACGAAATTCCTTAATCATTGTCTCATATTAATCATTTTAATCATAATAAATAATCTGTAAATGTTCATTCTGCAGTTCGCAAACGGTTTGGTTTCCTTATCATCATTGGCGAAATATCACTAAAAAAACATGAATATCCTATATTTTCCTATATAATATGCCATGCAATCATAAACAATAGGAATATGAATTATATGATTATATGATCATCAATTATCATCTTATAACCAATAGAAATCATCAATTATCATTGTCAGATGATAACCACAGAATGTCCAAACACCTTCGAAACTCCAAACATCGCTTCACAAATGCGTTGGTCGAAACGGCCTGTGCCATTCCTGGTGGATTTGTTGCTGAGACCTGCAGGATGCAGGATGCAGCTGGGAGAAACGGCGAGCGAGCTCGGTGCCGTTTCTAGCGTCACTGAAGTTAGGGAGATATTTTACCAGCCTGGACCTTTGAAAATGATGATTTAATGAAGTTTAATGGGATTTCATGGTGTATTTAAATTTATTTCATGGGTTTTCATGGAATTGAGTCACCCAAGTTCGCTATTTTACTAGCAAAAATTGGCAGTGCACAACGGGATTGAACTGGGATTTCATGGGGTTGAGTCAGCTGTATATATAAGGCTTATGAGTCCAACGACTAGCTGTGTATATGGTAGATATATACCATGACTGGTTGGTGGTATACCTACCCCTCTGAAAAATGATGGAGTTCGTCCGTTGGGATGATGACATTCCCAACTTAATGGAAAGTCATAACATTCATGTTCCAAACCACCAACCAGCCATGATATACCTGTTATCTTGGATGGGAGGTTGGGACCTGGATGGAAAAATGGCGCAGGGAACCCAAGGAAGCCAAGAACTTGATCGATTTTGTGGCGCCTCAACGTGGTGCTTGATCTCAGTATAAATCAGTGGAGAGAAAGAAAACAACCATCGAAGTTTAGCTGTAAACGCCATAACACCAATTACTTTACTTCGTGTGATCCCCACCATGACATTTATCGATTTGTTACTGGCAAATCTTCTGGCATTCTACCTGACATATCTTCTGGCATTCGATCTGGCATATCTTCTGGCATTCTATCTGGCAAACATTCTGGCATACCTTCTGGCATTCTATCTGACATTCTATCTGGCATACCTTCTGGCATTCTATCTGGCATATTTTCTGGCATTCTATCTGGCATATCTTATGGTATTCTATCTGGCATTCTATCTGGCATATCTTCTGGCATATCTTCTGACATCCTATCTGGCATTCTATCTGGCAAATCTTCTGGCATTCTATCTGGCAAACATTCTGGCACTTTATCTGGCATACCATCTGGCATTCTATCTGGCATATCTTCTGGCATTCTATCTGGCATATCTTCTGGCATTTTCTCTGGCATATCTTCTGGCATTCTATCTGACATGCTATCTGGCGTTCTATGTGGCATATCTTCTGGCATTCTATCTGGCCGTTGAGGTCCAGCGGTGCACACTGAGGTGGGAAGGTCCCAGGTTGAGGTCCAGCGGTGCACACTGAGCTCGGAAGGTCCCAGGTTGAGGTCCAGCGGTGCACACTGAGCTGGGAAGGTCCCAGGTTGAGGTCCAGCAGTGCACTCCCAGGTTGAGGTCCAGCAGTGCGCACTGAGCTGGGAAGGTCCCAGGTTGAGGTCCTGCGGTGCACACTGAGCTGGGAAGTTGGCAAAGAGCTTGGCGAAGAGTTGGAAGGCGGAAGTGGAGGTGGAAGTTGATGCAGACATGGTCGAGGAGAAACTACAGGAGGAGGCGGAGGAGGAGGAGAAGGAGGAGGACAGCTAGCCGAGGAGGAGAAGAACAACTCTGATAAAATCTAACTCACCTGGCAGGTGGGGAACTATATCAGTTCTTAACCAACTTAGCTAACAAGCTGGGGGCACCACTTACTAATTATGTCTTAGAAGTTGGTTTCCTCAAATGTACACCCACATTTTTGTTTGTGAGCCCACCATGTTTAATGGTTACATCCATAACAAACTGGGGCAGGTTGTTGGTGTAATATCTCTATGATATCTAATGCTGTAAAGCCAGTAATAAACCATCCCCAAGTCATCACCATCTATGGGTGGGATAAACCATCCCCAGTCATGGCACCGCGATCCGTGGCGTCGCCACCACATGTCGCGGGTAGGTCGCCGTGTGAGGCTGCTCTACCCGAGCCACGCCGGGAGGGGGCAGGGCCGGCAGGGCCGCGAAGTGCATCAGCGGAACGGCCATAGCGTCTATCCTGGTGGATCCAAGAATTTTTGAGTTTCAGGAAACCTTATGAATGATCTGAGTTCTCTAAGACCTGGTGCCCCAAAAACTTAGAAATTGCTGAATGTTTTAAAGGCAACAATCGCAGGTGCAAAGAACATGAAATTTGTAGAGAATAAATAAATTGAATTGGTTGGACACGAGCCAGGACACTCTTAAATTTGGAAATCAATTTTGGTTTCAGCAAAATAACTGTACCATCTGGTTATTTAACATAGCCATGGAAAATCACAATTTTTAATAGGTAAACCATCTATAAATGGGCCATTTTCCATAGCTATGTTAAATAACCAGAGGGTAAATTTAAATGTTCCCCGAAAATTGAACCGAGACAGTGCCGTGTCAGCGACACATTTGAGGCGTGGTGCTACATGTCAGGTCTGGAGACGTGAGTAAAGTTCTGCCCCGGGCCGGGCCAGAAGCCGATGCATCACCGTTCTCGGTCCAAAACAAACAACTGTCTATAAAGCTGTGTGATATATGTTGAAACCTAAATATATATATATATTTAGGATATCTCCGCATTGCATCTCAAGCAGGTCATGCGCAACAATAAATGCAAAATGACCTGGGTATGTTGGAATGATGTCCGATGCTGACCTGTGGGCCTCAAGGCTGCATAAGGCTGCTGGTGATGAGGTGCACAGCAATTTGGAGAACAAAATCATCAATGGGCCTGGACATAGAAAACCGAAGCGAGGCTTCGAAGTCCAGAAAAAGAAAAAAAACATGTTCAACTCTGCAGTAAAAAACAAAAAGCACAAACCCTGCACTGCACCACAGGAATCACGCCAAAAAAGGCCCGGCATCATCTTGAAGAAACAAATCCCTTGCATCTTGATCATCTCCTGTGACAATCTGGCAGCCCCCACTGTCAATCTGCTGCAATTTTTCATTCTCTGGTCATTGGCTGTTTATAGGAAGTCGTCCTTGCTGACGCTGATGCTGAAACTGAGCCTCTGTTGAACTCATTGAGCACAAACAGCCTGCTTGCAGAACAAGCAACAACCTGTCAGGGATGAAGAATAGAAGAAAAATATATACACAGTATGTATACATATATATACACACATACACACACACACATATATATATATATATTGCAAAAATGAAGCAAAGCAGAACGGTTAACCAGGTTAAGCAGGTTAGCCATAACACCTTAAGCAGTTATCCGAAATCTCCCAGTCATCGAAAATCTTCGGTGGCTCGGTGGCTCGGCTCTTTGGCCTCAGAAGCGTTCCACCTGGAACTTCCACACACCTCGCGACGGTCTGCTTGCGCCCTGGAGAAAAAGTAAGTGCCCCTTGATATCACCATCCCGGGTTGGAAAGTAAGCAACTATATATCTCAAAAAAACTCAAACCACACCTGGTTGGTGGTTTGAATCCCTCTGAAAAATATTAGTCAGTTGAGATTATTATTCCCAATGTATGGAAAAATAAAACATGTTCCAAACCACCAACCAGACACCCGTTGACCATTTTCCGAAAACGAACTGAACCCAAACCCCGCCGTCGAACCCTCCACCTGTTTGGCAGTCATAGTCAATGAAGGTGCACGCGCTGTTTTCCTCCGTCATGCGCCGGATCTTATCCTTGTACCTGGGCGCCGGATGCTGAGGAACCAGGCCCATCGACATCCCATCCCAGTAGGAACCCAGGGATATTGGATGATATAATTTATATTACACATGGCTCATGGTAATTTATTAACCTATAATATCACCTATATATCACCTATTAACCATGATATAAATCATAAACAAACACATATCAATGATATTTAAACACCTAGTTTTAATATTTTTTTTAATAACCTTCATTGTGGACAAAAAAGGTACTGGTTTCCCATTTCCCAGACAAGGCCTTAAATTCTCATGGGTCAACATTATCGGACCCTATGGATAGCTCATTTAGTTGCGACGCCCAAAATGATAGAAACGTAAAATCCAATCTCAAGTGAATGAAAAATTGAACATGTTTCTGCATCTTTTTCTTGGATTTGCTAAAGGAACCCCAAAAGTAACAAATATTTCCTATAGATTCCCCAAGTAGTGGATTTCCCATGGGGAAAAAGCAAAAAACGTCTTCAGCAAATCCAAGTGTTTGCAGGGTTCCTCGGGCCCATACTGCAAAACCGATGCCCCCCATGCCGTCGAAGCTGCTCTTGCACAGCTTCGTCACTCAGTGTCCTGTTGGTGGCCGGTGAATCCACTCTTGGAAAGATCTGCGGCCCCGCAAAAATATATGGGGGTTTCCATCAATGGGGCTACCCCAACATCTGGATGGTTTATCATGAAAAATCCTATGAACATGGATGATTTGGAAGTATCCCTATTTTAGGAAACCTCAATACAACTGTTAGATATTTGTTGAACCTTGAAACCATCTAACCTGGCAGGAAAGGATATCCATAAACAAAATCGAACAAGAGCTATACCCATATGATCCAATGGACATCACGCTGTGGCATACCCAAAGTCCTCTACAAGTCAAATATGTATAAATGCAATTTGCACGGCTCATCCATTCTCAAACTATCATGTGGTTGGAAAACTCAAGGTAGCTCCTTGGTTCCCCATTTTTGGTTGGGAATATGGATACCTCCAACCGCTCCGAACCGCTACAAATGATACAGGACGTGCACGCGTCCTGATGGGTTCCCCTGGGGGAAAGCATTGGTACATGGTGACCGTGGCGTGCTTGTTGAGGCCTTCCCCCGGTGGCGGCTTATTCTTCCTTGGCCATGGAGGAGGCGGAGGGAATTGACGTAGAGTTTTTTCAATGGACATCCGATACCTTAGATGAAACCAGATGAAACCATTGAAGTGGAATGTCTAAGTGGCATTTTTGAGATCATATTTCCGTTGAACATTAGAAGTTGTCGCTCCCATTTTTTGCGAAATACCCACTGGTTGCCTCCATGAATTTATTAGGATACCTGCAATCAAAACGGAGTTGTAACCTACAGATGGGAACCCAAGAACAGAACGGACACCTATCCCTTCCCCCTGAGCAAAACCCAGGTTGAGTATTGGATCAAAGACGATCTCAGCATTTCTATTGTCTTCCTTCATTGGATTTTTGTTGTCAAAGCCTGGGATGGAGCTTTTTTGGGCCCCGTTTTCAGCACAGCGTCTGATCAGGATAGACCAAAACATAGCCACGTTTCAGCACGATATCTCTGGCGACGTCCAAGTCCTAAGGGCAGCCGCCAAACCAGCGGTCAGTTTAACGGGCGGAAAAAAGGAGCCACACATTTGACAACTGGTTGGTGGTTGAGCCACCCTTCTGAAAAATATAAGAGTCAATTGGGATGATTCTTCCCATATGTTATGGACAAGTAACAAATGTTTGAAACCACCAACCAGTTATTTCCCATGTTCGGGATCTAACCAGCCTGAAACCCTGGCAAGACCAAATTTTCAGCATCCTTTCACAGCCGCTTCTAGCTAGTGGCAACTCTTGCTGCAACCAACGGCAGGGTCTCCAGGTATCAATGGCTTCGATGCCATCCAACTGCAGACTATAAATTCATCCTTTACCCTCTGGTAAACGTTTACATAACTATATACATCACCATTTTTCATGAGTAAATCAACTATAAATGGCCATTTTCAATAGCCATGTTAAATTCCCAAAGCGTACGTGTACTACAAATCGAGCAAAATGAACCCCCCCACTTTGGTCGGTATCTTCTCATATAACATGATCATGTCTCTCCACATGGCGGTGTTTCGTGGACACACCGCGGCCAACCCAGAAACGGTACAATCGGTGAGGCCGTGAAAGACAACCTCTCCGACATTGGGCTTAATTACCTGCCGCTGAGTCGTGGACTCCGTGGACCCATCTGGTTTGAAGGGTTTCCCCCAGGTTTTTCGAAAAGAAATCGATAGAACATCACCCAATTCTGGGATGCTCATCTAATCAACATAGACATGCATATGTTTGTTCACTGGAAGGTGACTGGTTGGGAATTGCAGGGCCCTTTTTTGGGTTGGAAGCCTAGGATTCTCCAAAGCACCGAGCCCTAATCCTGAAACGAAAGGACCCCAAATCATCCAGGCGATGACCATGGTGACTTGAGGACCCCCGTGACTTAAGAAACCACCACATAGAGGTAGAATGACCAATTTCTCCTTCAGGTTGAGCTCTGATCATGAAACCTTGGAACACAGCCCAGCTGGTATAATATCTCCATTCAGTTCCAGTAGGATTGGCTGTTCCAATCACATCCTCACCATCCGAAACGGAGGTGCTAAGATCCCTGGGGACTATATCAATGTTCATATCTATCATTGTCAAATATCTGGATAAATGATAACAATTCAGCAATCTGACAAGTTTGGCTAGTTTGGGATAGTTACCCCTACCAACCATCATCCCAATGAAGTCGCAATGAGGTCGTAACAAAATTTATCCAGAGTATCCGTATCCCGATGAATATTCTGATCATATCATCATTTTTGGTCGTTAAACCCACATGTTTGAGGTTGAACCGTTCAACCGTATGTTTACTGGGAAAACGACAATTATTGCCCGTAAAACAATTTTTGCTGGTAAAGCCATCATTTTTGCCGGTAACCCCACCATTTTCGCTTGAACACTATTCATATCTATTTAAATCATTGGCTTGCAAAACCTCATTTTTTGCAGGTAAAACATGGTAAAAAAAATTAAACTACCATTGTTTGTTGGTAAGACCACCATTTGTGTGGCTTTAATGTGGGTAAAACAATAGTAAACCATCCACCAGTCATCACCAAAAATATATGTGGTATATACAAAAAAATATATACATAAACCATTCTCAGTCATGGGTGGTTTATGACATTGCTTTAACCACATTATGTGCCCATCCCAATATCCCCACCCGTCGCTGTTTTCCCGACCTTCAGCTCGGACACCTTGGTCAACTCGCTGCTGCTGAGGCTTCGCAGGTCCGGTTCCACCACGAAGGGTGAGGGGTCACGACCTGCGACGTTGTGGTGTCATAGACGTTGCGGATTTTTAAACGCGCACACAAACAAATAGACCTGAAAAGTCTTGGGACCTCAAAAAAGTGGGTCCTTATGAGAAAGTGCGGGCCTAACGAATGCATTCTCCGAGGCTTTATAGCATTGCCGAACTTCTACGGCCAAGTTTTCTTTAAAGGTTTTACAGAGATGGTCAATCACGATTACTCACGAATTTATGATCATGATATGGCAATCCCTTTAGCCAAGCAGCATCAGACATCCAATTTGCTTACAGTATGTACCTTTTTAAGGTCGTAGGAACCCAAGAAGTATTGTACATTATATGAATACTTTTTAGGACCGAAGACCTAAAACAAATACGTGGCTGATTGTACCTTTTGAGACTGCTATCTACGGATTTCCTGGGACCTCGAAAAGTAGGACCACGGACTCCTAGGGAGAAAGGCATCGCGTTTTCTTTCTTTATTTCTTTTACTTCATGTATTTAAGTATATAAGATATAAATAGCTATCATACTGGTAATGGTCATTATATATTGATAGGACTTTGAAAACTATGTCGATCCCCATTGGATGGTGCTGAAAACTCCCCGTTCTTGATACACAAAACCTCAGAAACAAACGTGTATTCCATGCTGAGATGGCGCAGGTGAAAAATAAAAAAAACGAGAACCGAAAGAAATAACATAGCCATGGGACATGGCCCATTTATAGAAGTTTACCTATTAAAAATTGTGATTTCCATGGCTATGTTAAATACCCAGGGGGTAACATACACATTCACATTTATCAAAATGTCATATTCGTCAAATCCACCCAGCAAATCCCAGCAGTAAAGGCACCTTTGCCTTTCCCATTCACCGCACCACGTCGATTCCCTGGGCTTTGGCTACGGCCCTTGGGGCCCTTGGGGCCCTTGGCACCGCTGCCCTTCAGAGATGGGGCGCTACCACCCAGGGAGTCCACAGAGATGGTGGGAAGCATGGCGGCATTGAAGGATTTTCCTAGGGCAAATCCAACGGTTTTGACTATGGCTATGGTCATACATGATTGAATATCATGTGTATACAATTTATAAAAAAGGAGCATGTGGTTGGTACATGTTGGTACACCACCATATTTATGTATATATATATACATATATATATACATATATATACATATATATATACATATGGATACACACACACATATATATATAATTTTATAATTACACACTCATATATAGACATATATATATATGTAAATAATTATATATACACATAAGCAAGCTGTAAATATGTATGTATATATATATATACACATGTATATATATATGCATGGAAGTATATACGTATATGTATCTCTCCCTATTGTATATATATATGGAAACCCAATGGTTTCCCTAGTCGTTATGATCTAGAAGTGTTGGCTTTGTTTTCATACCTATGTTGATTTTCGAAAAGGCTTGGTGCTTCACCCCAGGTAGTAAGTGGGATATTCGCCCAGTTATACTGAAGTAACTCTTCCTACCCTACTCATAACTGAGGTTATAGCTTATAACTATGCTAACTATGGGGCACCATCTTGTAGATATACTGAACCTGGAATCTGGTTAACTTCCTGAACATAGCTGAAATGAGGTCATTTGGGGATGATTCCAAGTAACCGTTGGTCCACTTCTCGATCTGTAACTGGATGTTGGGAACTCATGGGACCTATAGCTATGGCCATTTATTAGTTATAACTAACTGGTTATAAGTGGGATTATACATTTTATAAATGGGGTTAGGTACTTATAACTGGCAAAGGGCCATAACTGTATAAACACTCACACTTCGATTTGTCCTAAAGTAGGCTGATCCAAGTGAAGTTCGGGTCAATGGTTGATACTGGGCAAATTTGTCTTGCAAGCCCCACCACACCTGGATTTCTCATCTCTCGCATCGGGGTTTGGGTAAGAATTGGGGCGCTGCATCAAAATGAAATAACGGAATCACCTGTGTGGCCAGTACTACTTGTATGGTGAGTTGATTGAGATTTTTGGGTATTAGAATGTGACTTGGAAATTCCATGGGTACCTTCAAGAAAGCAGGTGCTCCTTGGTTTTCTCTTGCCACAGCAGTTGGGTTTGGGGGTCCAAAAGTCCATCAAATCACAGGCTTCACGGATCTTTCAGGTACCCCAAGCAATGAAGCCTGAAAACACCATGCCGTTGAATCCCCTCAAGCCATTTCACGCATGTCAAATGTGTGTAGAACATGAACGTCAACCATACGTGAGCCCATCGCCCAGTCTCCTTCCGAAACCAGGTGGTTGCTTTTGCTCACGAAGTTGCTGATGCATGCGCACCATCTGGACAACCCTATGCCTTGGTCGAGACTTGTTGGTGGTTAATTTACCCACCTGATTTTCAGAATGGGACTTTCAATAGGAAATTCATCTATAAATAGTTGCTTGAGCCACCAACCGGATTTCATGGTGAATGGAGTTCACGCATCCATACATATGTATCTGTCATTACTTTTGTCATCTTGTGCCATTCAGCATAAATCATGCATCTGTCTATAACTATGCACATATATGTCTATCTGCCTGTCTATTTATCAATGTATCTTTCTGGCTATCTGGTCATCCCGCCTAGTACCGGTAGCTCAGGTATCTGCCTATCTGTCAATCTTTCTGTCCGCCTTTCTATGTATTATCTATCTACCGAATCTATCTATCACCCCACCAAAAGAAATCGGACTGTATTCTATCTTTGTTTTGGTGGGGTTACAACACTTTGTGGCCGGAAAAGAAACGGTTCATAGCAGTGAACTCCTCGACAAGTCACACGGTTGGTGAGTTTTTGCCAGCACCTCCTAAGGGGAATCCCAAGGGTAGCTGCAGCAATCGCTGGGCGGATCCACCAGCTGGAACATGGAGGAAAGGTGGATTGAGAATCATTGAGATGCTGTTTGCAAGAATAATTAAGATGTTTTTTTCCCGGCTGGATATGGCTTTCCATGGCTTTCCATGTTGAATTTGACGGCTGGAAACAACATGAGGTTCTTGGAAAATGCATTGACCCAGGCTGCCGGAGCCTGTGAAAAGTCTTGATCCCCAAGGGCTTCCAGCACCTTGCTCCGTTGCGCGCTGCTCATGGCCTCGGGTGGCTAACCAAGCCTCCCCCAAAATTGACTCACCAACATGAGGTTTTATATCAACATTCAGCATCAATTCACAAAAAAAAAAAACATGTTTTGTTTGCTGTCATCCCACAATATTGAATACTGTATGGTTGCCTATGCGTATGTGCATATATATATATTATATACACAAATATAGATACATACATATACACACGTATATATATATGCATGTATATGCATGTATGTGTATATACAGTAACATATTGCTATTTCTTGTTGGGGGTTCACAGCTATGGGGAAGCCAGGTCTCAAACCACCATTAGGCCAGTGTTCAAAACACATATAGCTACAACAAATGGGACTAAGAGATTTTCAGAATTCAGCATCATCACGTTTCACCCTATCATCATGACCTATATAGGACCTACACCATTTGGATCCATTTGGGCCGTTGTTCACAAACCCCAAAAGTCTTGACCAACAAAGCCTACTGGCCTGGGGGTCGAAGTCGGCCAACTTGTTGGGCAGGGACTCCGTCAAGATCTTCTTCCAATTATAGCCCTGTCATCGCGACACAAAAAAAAAAACGACCCAAGCACCGGGATGTGGGGGCAAGTTTTATGGGAGATGTACATGGATGTACCTTGTCAAAGATATGGGTAAATGGTGTGTTATATATATAAGTATGTATGTATATATATATAAATATTATAACAAACAGCTTCTAGTGGATATCTGATGCGGAGTCGGATTTTTTCCGAGCTTCTATAGTGATCAAAACCTCGCAATTGGGCATGGAACCAAAAACATCTTTGCTGTTTTTACCCACTTCTCTGCTGATATTTCAGTGAGTCTTCCATTTAATTATATGGGCGTTTACTCTCTGATAATCAAACATGGCAATTGAAAATCAGCCATCTAGTTCGATGATTTTCCCATTTAAATGACCATGCCAGCCATGTTTGACAACACCAGAGGGTATTGCTAAAAACTGGCCATGAACAAACCGTGTGAGCCAAGCAAACCAACACCTTGTTGCCAGCTTTCTCCCCCAGCAGCATGCAAATCGTGTCCATGACCTGTTTCACCTGAGGGGCAAGGAGAGGGGCCCATGAACTCTGGTGTCTTTCTGGCCCACCTTAGTTTTACATTTATTTTTTGATAGAATCTGATGCTGACGGAATTTGTTCCTTCAGCTATGACCATGGCTCAAAATCGGCACGCTGGGCATCCAATGACTCTGCCCATCAATTGTTGGGATGGACAAGTCAAATCAACATCCTGCTACCCACCCATCCACACACTTTGATTGGCCTTGTGGCAATTAAATCGCTAGTACTGTACATTTCCATTTTCTGTGGGTAACATCCCAATTCCGCCAAACCAACTTTACCAAGTTATATCACCATTTTTTCACCAGTTAGTTATTTATATATATATCCCTTACACTCCAACAAGGTGGTGCCCCATAGTTAGCAAAGTTGGTTTATAACTGCAATCACATGGCTTTATACTAGATGTATCTATACTTCATGGGCTTAAAATGTTATCAGAAATACTGGGGGGCACCATCTTGTATACATGTATGCGGTGACCCTCCGGTAAACTAGCAGTTTGCTATTGAACGTGACCCATAAATTGTTGATTTACCTACTAAAATTGGTAATGTTCCACTATAGTTCTGTTACCAGAGGGTATATTCCAGTAAATCCCCATTATATCCCTATGGTGGATAAATCCCCAATATCATCCATATATATTTCCCAATATCATCCATATACTTTCCCAGTTGGATCGGTTGGTTTATAAGCCCCATTAACTATACTTATATCTATCATATATCTACCATAAGCCATAGCTAAACCATTCCTTCATGGCACCCTTGGGGGGCCACCAGCGGACCCACCAGGGGACCCGTCTCGCCTGGCGCGGGGGTCGCAGCAACTGGCGCAGCTCTCGCAGGTCCTTGGCGTTCAGTTCCTGCGCCCGCTGCTGCAGCTCCTTGCGGCACTGCTGGGCCGCCTCCTGGGCAGCTGTGGATGCTTAAAAACTGACGGTTTACTGGTTGGTGAGATAAGATAAGACACAAAAGCCACAAGAAAGATAAGAGATACTAGCTTAATATCCCATTGGTATATCATTAACATGTCATTACTTATCCTGGTTGGTGGTTTCAGGTAAGTCCACTTAGATGAGCCAAGAAAGTCAGCTAAATGGCGATGGAAAACATTGTAGATACCCAGTTGTGTCAGGATTGTCCTGTGATATATAATGACTGGTTGGTGGTATACCTACCCCTCTGAAAAATATGAGTTCGTCAGTTGGGATGATGACATTCCCAATATATGGAAACATAATCCAAATGTTCCAAACCACCAACCAGGTTTAAGATGACCCTATAGAAATTTAAAGAAAATAGGGAAGATGAAAAGATGAGAGATGAAACTTGGATTATAGAAATCAACACATGTGCATGATGATCCATAGAAATTGATCTTTGTAGATCAGATATGGAAGATGAAAAATGGAAGGTGGAATTCTGAAACTTGGATGATCTATAGAAAACAAAACACGTGTGTCATGAGGTATTGATGGTTTTCGGATGTTTTCTGATGTCTTTGTTGGGGGTCGGTGACCAAACATGTGGGTTTTCGATATTTAATTTTAAGGTGGTTTTAGAAAATGATGATGCACGGGAAAGAGCTGAAAATCAGGCACGTCAACCAGATTTGGGCAGTCAACGACAATGTCCAAGCTGGCCACTCGAAGCACAATCCAGCAAAACATGCCTTATACCAATATTTTTAGGAAAAAAAACGTAACTCTCATCTTGCAAATCCATCTGTTTTTTGTTTTTTCTTCAGGTTGTTGGACTCCATGAGCCACCATGAGTTCCATTTACAATTTGCACCCCCAAGGCCCCGAAAAAAAAAAAAAAAAAAACATTCAGTCAATAGCCATTTCAGGTACCTAAAATTGCAGGTACTTAACATACATAACTGGTTGGTGGTTGAGCCTACCCCTCTGAAAAATGATGGAGTGAAAGTCAGTTGGGATGATTGTTCCATTCCCAATATATGGAGAGTCATAATCCATTCATGTTCCAGTCACCACCAACCAGATAAGGATCCATTTGTGGGTCCTGAAATTCCCATCCCTTGGCACCTGCACCTCGGGCATCAGCGACAACCGTCGCATCTGTGCGGAGGTCCGAGAGGACGTGGTGCGCGAGCGCGAGCTGCTCAGGGTAGGCCGGGGGGCCTGGGAATTCATGAGGTAAGATGAAATGAGATGAAGCTAAGCAAACCCGCAGCAAACCCTCAAAGATCAAAAAGGCAGAAAACCTACAACCAAGTATATTTATATTATATAATTATATAATTAATATGAATGTTTTTGTTACGAGTCTACATGCTAATAGATCCCAATCCTGAGTACCTTCACTTACATTGTTCTAACGTAGGCTGAGTATCCCCCAAAGTGCTCAACATTGGTGTGGGAGGGGTGCCAAAGCCTTCACATGCCAAGAGTCCCCCACAGTAGGCCCAATATAGGCCCAACAGTGCCCCGTTCACTTGTATATAGCTAATTCCAGAAGGCAAGTGTGTAAGATGAGCATGTGTGACTGGTGTCTCTCACAAAAGCAACAATGTAACGTATGTGCAATATGTATTAATGCATATTACTGCATATTCACTTAGGGCTTTCTGACGTGATTTTTTTTTAATGTTGTATGTTTTTGTTAATCCTTGTAGGGTTGGCCACATCTTTGATCGCCAAAATGGTGGTTAATTATTGTCACTCCAGCTAGCCAATTTTGGAGACAGCGACTGCAGTCCCTTGCAAAGCGTCTTGCCGTCCTGCCCTGCTTTTTAACAGCCAAAAGTGAACCAATGTTTCACATTTATATATTGGGTTGTTGTTGTTGTGGTGGTGGTGGTGGTTGTTGTTGTCGTCGTCCTTTTGTGGAAGGCCCCACTGGTCCCTTGGTCCCCAGGATTCTGCGAGGTTGTCATGGATCCAATGCCTGGCTTGCATGGCTTGTCCAAACAGAATCATAACCCGACACTGCAACTCTAATGAAGAATCGATGATTTCCAAACATTTATATAGTTGGCAGTGACTACCCCACATGTTCAACTTTATGAAAGCTACAAGCGTTGTGGAATCCATATCAAATAGGAGTCCACTTATGGAAAGATGATGAGAAACCCATTGCCATTTCACTGACGCAGCGGCTCCACCAACTGGGTGAGCTGATTATTTTGACCAACTCAGACTTAGCCCACCGGTACTCAAACATAGTTTGCGCAAAATTCCCGCTGTTCAGATCCTTAATTTTCCCATTCAGAGCTCCATTTACAGACCCTTTCCCAGCCAGCCATGGTTGACTACCGAACGGAAAACAAACTGTGCCCGATGTCTTAGAACCTTGGTTTCCCCTATACCCTCATATTTTTTGCAGGTACAAGGTGGAGCCTGTTACAAATTGGTTTCCTAATCCTAGTTAATCTTAAGTTATAGGTCAACTTAACTAAAGGTGTTTCACCTTCTACAATAAAACATATAAAACCCTATCTGGCCTATCTTTGATGGAACGCTGGGGCACCACCCGAAAAGCGGACCCCCCTGGCAAATCCGGCACCTTGCCAGATCGCTCATGTGCTGGTGCCGCTGGTGCCGCTGGTGCCGGCGCTGCGTCGCCGGCCCGCTCCAGAGGCTCCTGGACGTGCGGAAAGCATAGGAATTCGGAATGGGATTTAAACCAATCATAAGAGTTTCAATAAGTGGAATATATTGGAATTATTGATGATATAGAGGGCTTATTGATGATATGATGGGGATGAATGGGATTTCATGGATTATGTTCTATGAAATATGAAGCTTGCCTGTACGGTTTCCCATTTTCCCATAGACAAACTTTGGGACTAAGGAAAATAAGTGGAAAACCATCATGATGATAAGTAAATCATCGAACTAAATGGTTCGTTTTCCATGGCGAACTGTAAATTACCAGAAGGTACATCCCAAGTACATCCCATTACTACCATCGCATGAGTTATAAGTTCACTGCACAACAGCGTTATTCCATACTGACTCCCCAGATCAGGATGGTTAAACAATGGTCATATATTCCTTACCAGATGGTTTTCACAAAAACATTGACTCCCATTAAACCATGTGAAACCTTCATGTTCCATCGCATTTTTGTTGTATGATTTACCTATCGTCATGACCTCCATCCGTTTCCCGCCTTCTCCTCTGGCGCGATGGGTTCCTCCGGCTCCGCAGACACGGACATGGCATCAGCCTGCGTGACAGATATGCCCTGGGGCTACTTCTGTGGTTAAATCATGAGAAAATCACGTGAAAACCCTGGGAACAGAAAGTTTCATAGGAAAATCATGAGCAAATAATGGGAACATTATGGGAAAATAATAGAAATATAATAGAAAAAATGGAACACCAATAATCCTGGGTGAATAATGGATGATGGGGATATACCATCTGGTTGTTTAAGAGTTTGTAATCCAAAATTGCAATTTAGTTCGTCGATTTACCCATTAGAGATGGTGTTTTTCTATAGCTATGTTAATTTCCAGAGGCTAAACGCTAACCGGAAGCACTGGATGGATTATGATGCATTGAATGTCGCTTCAACATTTCCCAGGCTTCCAACTTGGTCATAGGTTATAGCCATACAAGTCATTCACTGGGACGCATACCAGTAGTACCGCACAAGGCAGTGGCGGAAGTTTCAGAATAGGAAACCTATATGAGAGCTTGGTTGTTGCGAATCACAGATGGCAGAGCGAATCCACTTATGGACTGAAAGGTGGTTGGAGCTATCTATTTTGGAGTGGTTACAATGGTTGCAGTGGTCACTGGGTCGGTCGCCTCACCCACAACTGCTGGATGTAGTGTGGTGTAGCGCAGCTGTAGTTGTAGTAATGTGGTGGAGTTGTAGTTGTGGCGTGGTGTAATTTGTGTAGTGTACTTGCAGTTGCATTTGTGGTGGTGTAGTGAATGAAGTGCAATGTAGTGTAGGGTAGTGTAGTGTAGTCTGGTGTAAAGTAGCGTAGTTGTAGTTGTAGTTGTAGTGTACTGTAGTGTAATTGAGTGTAGTGTAGTGAAGTGAAGTGGAGTGGGGTGTAGTGTAAGGTGCACCGTAGTGTAGTGTAATTAGTGTAGTGTGGTGTAGCGTAATACAGTTGTAGCTGTAGTTGTAGCTGTGCTTGTCGCGTGGTGGAGTTGAGTGTAGTGTAGTGTAGTGTAATGCAATTGGCGTAGTATAGTGTAATGTAGTGTGGTTGTAGTTGCAGTTGCAGTTGTAGTTGTAGTTGTAGTCGTAGTTGTAGCTGTAGTTGTAGTGTAGTGGGGTGTAGTGTAGTTCTTGTACTGATACAAAACCCTGACTTTTTGCTCACTTTTGGCAAGGTGCAGAATCCCTTGTGCCTGCCACGCAAAAACCGCATCCGAACGTCCAAAAGTGCTCCGAACCCTTTTTTTCCACTTTTGACTTCCAAATGTGCTTCGCACCACAACGGCGTGCACTTTTTCGACATCGCAACTTCCAAAACTGGTCCGAACCTGGTGTGTTTTGTACATTTTGACTTCCAAAAGTGCTTCGCTCCACATCGGCGTGCAATTTTTCATCTCTTATCTTACCAGATGGCTCCGCACCCGCCGCTTTAGCGAGCCTACATTTTCGACCCTCCGGAGCCATAAACCATTGGAAAACACACAGTATTTTGCGACTTTTCTACCTTTTCGCACACCTGCATCTTCTTTCTTCTGACTCTTTCTCTTCTCTGATCTTCTCTCTTCTTCTTTTCTCTTCTCTTCTCTGACTCTTCCCACCTCTGCTTTTCCATCTGTCCATATTGTCGGAAGTTTGACTTCTAAATTTCCTTCGATCATACATATCCTAAGAAGAGTCTGTTGGGATGTTCAAGTGCCCACTCTATCGTTTTTTTTGGCTTGGTCTTGACCCGTACCAATGTATGCATATAGAAGGCTTCAATCACGGAACTAGCAGCACAGCTTAAAACATCTGGAATCCCACCCTGTACTTGGAACATCCATGTGTTTTCTCACACAGAAAATGATCAGTTGATGGCATCAAACCCTATCACACACAAATAAGTCATAATAAGTCTGGTTGAATAATCATCCCATGAAGTAGAAAACGAGAGCAGCTCCCAGCCAATTTCAATCCGACACGGCAGACCTTAGGTCAGTACCCCTACCCCTCGGCCCTCGACTACCTTGGAATCTCTCGGAAGCATTCGGCTTCACATTCAGCTTCACTATATGATTTTGTCCCCCAAAAAGAACACGCATGGTCTTCATATACTATACCTCTGGTAAACTAACATAGCTATTGAAAATGGCCATCAAAATAGTGGATATACCCATTAAAAATGGTGGATCTTTCCCTAGTTACGTTAGTTTACCAGAGGGCGATGCCCAGTGAGATGGTCCTCAATGATACCCATGGGGGTGATGAAAACGGGTCCCGGGGCCGTTAGAGAAATGAAGCCAAGGCATCGATTCAGGTCCCATTCAAAAATCATGTAAACCGTAAATGTACCCTCTGGTAAACTAACATAACTATAGAAAATCACTAGTTTGAATAGGTAAATCAACTACACATGGCTTATTTTCAAAAGCTATGTAAGATTACCTACCCGAGGGTAAGCCATGGCTTCCCCAAAAGACACCACAAAAACATCCAAACAACACCCTCCAATTAACAAAAGATATGGAACACCCATGCTTTCCCGAAGATGACCTACGCGGGGCACAACCTAGGAGTCAGATAAAACCATGGTAATCATGGTAATAACTCACCTCCATATGTTGGGATATAATTATCCCTACAACTATGGCTATAGAACTCACTTCTTGGTGGAATACTATGGAGTTTCACCACCATAGGTTGGGATATAACCCCAACTTACAGTAACACCTATAACTATGCTTATGGTTATACAACCACAGACAACTCGAACACCCAAGTTCCACAAATCGTGTTTCCACCTCAGGCGGATCGCTCAGCTCCATTTCATCCTGCATGGTGTGGCTGGGCTGGTCCAAATAGGGCTCCACGTGACGGATATAGTGAGGAGATCATGGATACCATTCATGCATTCATGGAATATAAAGGGGGAACTGGATATGAAGGGATCCATCCATAGGATTTTCCAGGGAACATTGCAGATCAAGTCATTGAGTAGAACTGTCACTTGGACTACTGGTATTGGCTTTGAGAGTTCCAAAATCTCCAGAAACACCAGCACAATTGCAATGGTTCCATCCACTGGTTCCAGGGAAACGCAGTTCAAGGGGCGCCGGGGAACAACGAGAAGAAACATCGAGACCAGTCTGCATCAAGATCTTTCAAAGGACAGTGGCCACCAAGTAATTGTGGCATCCAGTGGGCGTGACCATAGCCACTCTTCTGGAGCCTGCTCAACTACTGCAACTTCTCTTCAGCCATCTGAATTTGCCAGAAACAAAATAGAACCATCACGCAAGATGATGGGAATTATGGTTTCTCTTGCTGGGTGTCAAATTTTAGGCCCACATGTGAAAATCCACTTAAGTTGCTAGCGAATTCCTCCACTTTTTGCGTCATCCGCCCCCTTTCAGCTGTCCACCGTCCACGCATTTTGCCCAATGATATCTGACTCCAGGTGAAACATCCTTGACTCATCTGAGCAGTGTGAAACACATCCTCGATCATTCCATGAATGGTTGATAGCGGTTGCCATAATATCCCACAATATAATGGCTTATGATAACCCCCAACATATTTGGAAAGCAAAAACTATGTAAAACACCCCCAAATCCTCCAGGGTGTCACTGCTTGTGTCACTGCTCACTTGCCCCTGGCACTCCGATGCTTCGCCAACAACGAGGCAGCAGGTTCCGCTGCGGCGCCCCAGAGGGCAGTGGCGAAGTCACCCTGTTGCCAGTGCGGCGGCTGCAGCAACAGCGATGCAAAACGCTGGCAGTCGGAGGGGCTGTCGAGGCCTAGTAGGGCCAAGATGACCTGGGAGACCATCGAGGCCGAAACGGTGAGGTTGAGACCTTCAAGATAGGCTTGTAGACCTTGCAAGCCAAAAGGCTTTGGAAAACACTGAGGTTCCAAAAAATGCAAAGAGCTGGCTTGAATCAAAGATCATCCAAAAAGTGTTTGATTGAAAAGGATCCCGGTAATATGGCGGATAAAAAGTTGGAAACGCAAACCCCTTCAATTCTTTGCACAAAAGCTTCATGGATTTTAACCAGGACACCTCTTCTGGACACTTGGTGTTGGGTACTGAATTCCTGCACCTCCTTCTCAATTGCTCCAGGCGCTGACAAACGCTCGCCCTTGACCTTCCAAGAGGTGCGAAGATGGTGCTGCAATTCCACCACCTTGCAGAAAAGACCTGGGTCAGGTGGGCTTCAAATGGGCTAAAAAAAATACCCAGCTGCAGATGTTGGATTTACGACTTTCTCCAAGAAAAACGAGATGGAGCGCGTCTTCCAAGATTAGAACTTACGAAGCCTGCGGGATTTGTCAGAAAAAAATAGAACAACAAATAAAAAATCCAAGAGACTCAACGAAACTGCGGGAAGGTCATAGTGTTCGAAAAATCTCCTCAAGCCAACCAACTTGGAGGTTGTGATGTCCTCTATCACCTCCTCTGCCAAAGACAATTCCTAGGTGCAAGCGCCAGTAAAGTCAAAAGTAATGCAGCTATTTCCAGAATGCAAAGGTCCTTACTGGTACATGGGCTATAGGAGGACCCAAATGCATATATACCCACCAAGTGTATACTGCATACATGTTTGCAAATAGAATGGACGACCTGTTTCTTGAGGTTAAGGTCGTGTCAAATGGTTCAATGTTTTTGCGTCCAAAAGTAACATAATCATCAGTTATCGACTCAAGATATTGCACTCCATAAGCGAAAAGGAGGCAGCCAAACGATATCCCTGAAGCTGGTGGTGAGGAAATCACTGAATTTGCTCTCAACTCAGAACTCCGGAGCCAACAAACCAACCAACACGACAAAACCACGGAAGAACTCAACAAGAAACAACAAAATCCTAAAGCTCAACGTTAAAGATCATTGGCAAAAACTCACCGCCACTGTAATTTCACCACCTATACCATAACTGGGGGTGCGGTTGGGATTATCAATGGGTATATGTATGGTAAAAACCTCCTTAGGTTGGCATATAACCCCTAAATATCTCTACCACTATGGCAAACTATAAGCCACCAAAATTCGTGGGGTTCCCCCTATATTTCAAGGGATCCTCCACCCATGCCCCATGCCCCAAGCATCCGAGGAAGCCTCCATGAGCCGCTGCTCTTTCTCCGCCTGCGCATGATGCGCCTCCTGCAGGTCGCTCCGAGCCTTCGCCAAGTCGCTCTCGAACTGCTCCTTTTGCGCCTGGAAAACAGGGAGAAAAAAACGAATTCTCCTGGGAATCAAACATGCAACAATGGTCAATATTGGTGAACAGGGTGATGAGTGGTGATTTTACTTGTGATGAATGGTGCTTAGTGGAATCACCTATATACATATATATATATATAATTATATATATAATATATATATATATATTATTTATATATGGTACAAAGGGGATATGACGGAATATAATGGAATCTTAGTGAGATGGTCATCAGTTCCACGGCTAGGTTCCATCAACTCGGCCCAACATTATGTGAATCTTTATTCCTATGTGCAATATGAGTTGTTGCATTTATACATTGAGATTGAGAATATTAGAGAATGTTCAACCAGCAACAATTAGGTAACACTTATATAACAAGACCCTGACTCATGGTGATCACTCCAACTATTCTTGTGGTGGTGTCTATGTGTTTTATGGGTGTCTTGAATATATATGTATATATATATATGTATATATATATATATGTATGTATGTATGTATGCATGCATGTATGTATGTATGTATGTGTGTATATTGCATTATATATTATATTGTATATGTATGTATATTATATATGTGTGTGAAAATCAATCCCACAATTTCACAGAGCCGCAATGCCTTCAGTTCTCGAAAATCACTGGCCAGCTTACTGAAATGGCTTTCCAGCTCCTCTTGCCTCTGCCTTGGCTCGTCTTCCACACATGCAAAGGACTCAGCTTTACAGTAGGTACCAAGCCAGGATCTAGAAGTCAGCAGGTTTCTTTCCCCCAACTCCGGGAACATGTGGTTGTTACTCAAACGTAAACTTCAACGAACTGTGCAATCTGTCCCTGTTTTGTTATGCTTCAATTAACAGGTGCTTCCGTAACATCCATCCCAATAATATCTTGAGTAAACCCTCTGGAAATCTAGGGCAGTCAGTGGACACATTCCCCCCTTTTACAGCGCTTTACTTCGGGCATTAATCCCTCTTACAGCAGGTGATTCATCACTCTCCAGTAAAACACAGCAATTATAAACCATGGATGGGTCAAGTCAGAGATCATTTGCCTCATCAATTTACTGGTACATATGTACATTCTTATCTGTTGTTGTCTCCGTGTTTATCCATTATGATCCATACAATACAAAACAGGCTACAAATGTCAGTTGGCTGGAGGATAAATCATAAATCCATGGATAATTCCAGGGAGAATTCCAAGCAGCTTCTTCCTAGATGTCAATGCCCTCCGGTAATCAAACCAAGAAAGATAAGATACAAAACTAACAAGAAAGATAAGAGATACTAACTAGCTTAATATCCCAGTGGTATATCATTAACATGTCATTCCTTATCCTGGTTGGTGGTTTCAACCCCTCTGAAAAATATGAAAGTCAGTTGGGCTGATTATTCCCAATATATGGGAAAATAAAATTCATGTTCCAAACCACCAACCAGATGTCATTACTTATCAGTTCATCCAGCCATACCTACCATCATTTTTGTCCACGCTGCTGTGCGTCGAACTGCTGCACAAAGGCCTCCTGAGTTTGGTACGACGAAAAAACGCCGTGGAAAAGCGCCATTCGGACGATCTTTTGCGCGATCCCAAACGGATGAATGGATAGGTGATCTTGTTGGATTTTTTCTGGATGGTTTATGGAAATTTCATCAAAGATGGGATGGTGATAGGATTGATTTTCCAGTTCAATGACTCGATCGTGAAGTTGGTTTACAGGGAATATATCTAGGATCAATAGTAGAATAGTTGTCAGTTAATGGCTGATAACCCATGAGTCAGCTACTAAGTGGGGTAAAAGCAATTAGGCTAACTGTTGGAGTTATGGAGGAATTATGGGGGAGATACTGAACCATAGTTAGATGGGAAAAACATCAAGTTATTACTTGTTTTTTTAACGCTGGGCTTTAGACATTCTGAGTTCTGGGCAAATAAACAAACATCACAAACCTAAAATGTGCACCATTTTTGGCATGATGCCCCCCATCCTGATGATTAATTGGTTTCATGCATGTTTAGCATAAGCCTTAGCCTTCTATGTTCTGTGGATACTGTAACCATGGTTTCTCATTATGACCTATCCCCAGTTCGAAGAATCTTGAAGCATCTTGCTTTTTTTGCAATTATTTTGACCCATCCAGGAATCCACACGCGTCGGAAAAAATGGACACGAGGATTAGCAGTCCACGGAAATTAGCATCAATCTAGGAATCATGTAATACACTTCCATTTCCATCATCTCCAGTTCAGCATTCGCATCATTTTCGCATCGCATTCATATAGCATATGCCTGGAACCGCAAAAAAGCAAAACTATAACTTAAATGGTTTTGGAACGAAACCACCATCTATTTTTCTGGTTCTCTTTGTTTATTTAATCATTAGCTCCATCCCCAAACATCGGCCCAAGATGGCCCAAGGCTCTTTGAGTGTCCGTTGTAAATCCTTCACCTGCTCTTGGCACAGGGCCAGTTCCTTTTCCAAACTTCGGCACCGCGCACGTTCCGACACCAGCAAGGCGTCAGTGTCCACCTACGAACGCGAACTTTCGCGACGCGAGAGGAAAGGTGGCGCCCATGGAAGTGCCGAAAAGAAGAGCAGTCAATGGAAGATTTGTCAGTATTAGTAAGATTAAAGGTATCTAATATTGAATCATGTTTTTGCAAAACACATTATTAGGTACTAATAATTGAACCAATACTAGTAAGATTAGGTATCGCATGGTATCGCTATTGAACATAAACCGAACCCGTTATTCAATGATATTGAGTAGGGTGCATACATATGCGTATCTTACAAAAATACAGCGTGTAGAAATAGGAAAACAGCAACCTTAAACATCCATTGGATTCAATTGGTATATCCTCTGATCAAGTGTCTCTTTTCATTGGGAAATATTGCGGATATCTATTGTGGGCGGTAAAGTCAGCTTGTGACCAACATGTAGCCACAATGATTGGGTTCTAGATTGAACTGATCATGGTTATAACCACAAGTTTTGGTATAATTGTGACAGTGGCCACACACTTATTCCCAACTGGTGGAATGTAACGCCGATCATCGAGTCCCAAGACACAATGGTCATGAATGTGTTTATCTGTGCGCCTGAACCTAGGGTGTTCGACTAATGATTAATGCGTGCCAACTGTCATGGGAAAATACTGGTTCAATGGTTAACCAATGGATTTAGGGGTGCCCTACCTGTGGACAAACTCACCTCATCCAATGGCGCCAGCAAGGGAACCCTTTTTTGTTCATCTAACACGCCAAATTCCGTAAATCTTCCCATTCAGGATGGTGTACATAGCACTCATTTATCCATTTCTGGAAAGTCATTGGGGGTGGTTTGTGACTTTGATTTTGCCATGTATGGCACGAATCATCTTCACTGGCCCAATCTTGAGATTGTGATATATTCAGGGTTAACGACAAACATGTCACCACTTGTCACCTACAATCTGGTGCCCCCCAGTGAAAAGTCGGTTGAAAAGACCGCAGCTAGTTCGATTTATCTACCAGAAACCCAACAGTGAAAAATGAGTGACATGTTTCCCAGCCTAGCCAATAGCAGCTAAGAAATCGGTGCGCTCTTCCCTCATCTCTCTTAGAAGCTGTTTTCCTCAAACCTACCGTAACATAGCACCGTATCAAGGTTTCTGATAGAACGCTTTTGGATCTGTCACCTATGGGTTTCAATGCCATGGGCCATGGCACCCGTCGGTCGTGAAGCCGTTCCAGATTCCCTTGCAGCTCCAGCACCGAGTTTTGGCTGCGCGTCAGCTGATGGTGATGCTCCTCGCGATGCCTGGCAACCGGAGTTGCTGGGGATTTGAAGCCATCAGAGGAGCGTTAAAAAGGGTTGAACCAAGAAACAAATGGGAGTATGACCCGGGCATAATATATCAGTAGGTGCTGCTAACCAGCACACGTTTTTCCGAGTTGGTTTAAAACATGTTTTTTCGCACAGCAATATCTCACCTTTTGAATTTAAAACACATATATCGAATCGAACTAATTACAGCAGTGGGGTGAAACCAAACCAAAAAACATAACTCCGGGCACCACATTGCAGGTTTGTCTGAACATGGGGCACTACACAAAAGAAAACGCCAATTATGTCCAACTATCACTTGTTCGCCTTGAATGATTTGTTTTTTTTGCACATCCCATTGTTGAGGCAAAACCATTGCTTCACATGGTCTCACCAGTTTTGATGATTCAACTCAAGAAGTATCAAAAACATTCGAAAACACTTTCATCTTCTGAAACTCCTTGTCAGCAGGACAGCTCATACTAGAGCGAACCCCGCCCAGAAAAGGTGATATAATAAGACCCTGTTGCCTGTTGTCACTGTGTTCGTTCCTGTTGAAACTCATATCTTCGCTTTGGTCATCACACGGGCGTTTTTGCCAGTGTCTGTATCTAGAGGATATCGGTATTAAAGTCAACTCTTCTGGTGCTGCGGCAGTTTTTTTCCACAATCAACATTGGACATCTAAGTTGGTAAGAACCATTTTTTTAACAATTGTACAACCTTATCAAAACATAATCCTTTCAGGGTTGATTCCCGTGAAATTTGCTCAAGATGGTCCTAGCATGCCCCGGCAAATCAACATACCAAGTGGACATCACAAATCCTCGGCCATGCAGATCCAATGGCGTGGTTTAATTAAACATACCCACATTGAATGTGGTCCCCGGTGGCCCCCCAAATTCTATAAGTCTACACTCCTAAACCATACTTAGCTTAGCTTAGCTAGTTCCAACTCATCACCCGGCCTTTCACGCAGGGCCAGATGAGCACCGCGCCGCCAATGGCCAAAGACCTTCTTTTTCCAGAGCCATCGCCACGCCGCGGAACTCACCTGTTAAATGATAAATATAAGAAAACTATAGGTTATAGGTTACTACTATTGTAGGTGCAAACGGGATAAGAAACAAATTTCTCAGATCTTCTAACTATAGAGGGGGCATCACTTTGTATGTCGTGTCCGACAAAAACATAATATTCCCGTCAAACAGAAATGGAGTTTTGGGGTACCAGTAACCCCGTAGTTCTGGACAACCCTAACTGGAGTTTAATGGGTTGATTTGGTGAAAAACCAGGCAGTGGGATTGCGTATCAAAAAACAGTTCCCATAAACGTAGCTGAAAAAACGACGGAAAAACAAATTCATCCAATCACCGGGCGTCACAGAATGAATGGGGAAAAACATTTAGTTGCCCGCTTGCAACATGATTTGCATTCTGGCATTCAACCACCCAAACAAAAAACATGTGGCTAGTGGGGTTGGTCTACCTCCTCCTCCCACCCCCAAAAAAGAATATCGTTGTCATTCTTTACCACCATACACCATACGCAATTGGCATGTCATGATGATCACAAACCAATCATGTTTTTCTGTATCTCTCTCTTAAGCTATTTCTATAATTATGGTTACCCTCCAATCATTGAACTTAGCAATGAACACAAACCATTTAATTTGATGATATTTGATGACTAATTATATGAGTGTATATATATAAAAACCAATATAAATTTAATATATATATATATATATTATATATATATTCACATATATACACATATTATTTTTGCTTATATATCCCACAACAAGTTGGCTACTTACCTCCACCCCCACCCCCCATCTCCGCCACGGCACTGCCCTGGGTACCTCCGTGCCCACGCTGCCGGTGTTCCCGCCGTTCGCCTCTTTGGGCGGCCGGCGCCAGACGTGCTGCCGCGCCAGGGAGAGCGCCTGGAAGGCACGGCTCAGGCGAACCTTGTCCTCACGCGCCAGATGAGGTGAGGGGAACCCCCGTTTTTAATTAGTGTCTAAGTCATCTACCAGATCATACATCCCCAAATCCCCAATCATAATTTTCCCTAAATCTATCATACATCCCCAATCATCCAGCTTTGAGAATCGCCCATTGATAGATGATTTACCTTTTAACAATTGCGGTTTTCCGTAGCTCTGTTGGTTCACCAAAAGGTATATTCCACTAAATCCCTATTATACCCCTATGATGGTTGATATAGTATAGACAATTATTTTCTCAATTATAGAATTAAGTTATGCTATATGATATTATATTATTTTTCTATATATTATATATATATATATATGTTTCTCTATGTATTAAAAAAAAACCTGCACATTATATTAAATTTATTGTTTTTGAAATATTATACTATATATTACATTATGTCTTGTATTTTACACAAAGTCATATTACATATTAAATCTGGTATTAAAAAACAAAATTGCATTATATCTTTAAAATAAACAATAAATATATATAATATACAGTATATATTATCATGTTTTTTCAATCATGTAGCCCAATCATTTCCCATCCTGATGTCGCTTCAGCAGCCCCCAGAAGTTCTCCAAGTGCTGCACCAGGCGCGTGCGCTTCAAGGCCAAGGCATCCGCTAGCCCCGCAGCCTCGAAGCGCGAAAGGATCAGATCTTGACGCGTTCGGTGCAGTTCCTGGCAGTGGAAAAGTCATGGAAACCAGGGAAAACCATAGCAGAAAGCATCAAAAACAAAGGAAATTGAATGAACTTGGCCATTTTTTTTGATCTTCCCATGATACATGGTGACTTTCTTGAACATGTAAAATACACATTGTTTAGCGTGTTTCATGGGAAATTCACCATGTTTCATGGGAAAGTTGCCTTTTTTGGCGTGCAAAGACTGCAAAGATATGAGTACAAATGCTTGGATTTACCACACAAGTAGTACCCCTCCAAAACAAAAACTGTATATCCACCCACAGTTGACCCAGTCAAAAAACTAAGCTAGCTATGGGGGGCAACACTTCATGACCATTCAAACAAACTGAGGCTTTATCAACGAGTCTGGAACCAGGGAAAACCTTGGAGATCAATCAAAGCACATGTTTTCGGACATTCTACTTCTCTGATTCCTGCTGTTCTGGCTCGTAATGAATCAGCAAGCTCAGCATCAAATTTCATAAAAATAAGCGATTTACCAAACATCACCACCCAAGGCTTGGAATCAAGCTTGGAGTGTCTTGACCCAGGCCAGAAGACCCCTCCTCTGTGAGGTTGATCGTGCTGCTACTCAGAACGGACAGCATGTAGAACAGTTCCCACGCTCGCCGGCCCAGCCACTGAGCGGTCAAGAGGAAACCATATGAAGTTGAGCCAATCACGGCTGAGCTGATGACGGATACCGGTGTAAACCTGTCCAAATGCACTGAATATAGTGGCAATTGGTGATAGTTTTGCGTTTCTTTCTTGGATGTTCACCATTTTCTCTGGTGAGTACTACGAACCATACACTCCTAAAGAAATGGCTACACAGTTTATTAGCCTAGGTTAATGGCAAACTTTGCTGGAAAAACAAAAAACAAAGCAAACCCAAAACGGAATCTCCGAATCTCAGAGTAAAACTGTGTAAACTTCCACATTTTTGCGTATTTTTGAGCCAAGGTGTGTTGCAGTCTTTCCAAAAGATTCGAATCGCTCCACCCACAAGGTGGTTAATCCCATCGAACAAAACGTATAGCTATGAAGATAGAACAGAATGAAATCAGGATGTTATAGACGATATTTACTTCATAAATCTTTCCCTGTTTCCCCCGGTCCTATTTGTTGATGTTGGGGTTGCTATACCAACTATACTGTGTCCCAGCTTAAGAATTCCAAGGGTTTCGGGGCACCACGTGCAGCGCTCCGTTCCTGCAGATGTATGGGGGTCTCGGGGCATGGCCATCGTTTCAACGCCTCCGACCTCGGTAAGGCTTCGCGGTTGACTCCATGGTGGAGCTCCAACTGACTCCATGACTCAATGGATTGGCGGGAAGTCTGCCCTTGAAACCATGGCTGTACCAACAGGTTTCGAGTTTTTTGCCACCAGTATCCACCAATGTATAATCTGGAATTACATCCAAAATTAGGGGTTTCCAATGGTTTTCAACGGTTCAACTCTCAATTCTTTCATCAACATCTTTACCAACTCGGGGAATCATGCTACATCCACCCCACACAGCAGTTGGACGGTTCCACGATCCAGGGACAAGTTCAGGGGCGGTGCAGATGCCCGAGCGGCCTGCAGTGTAGCGTAGTCGGTGGTTCGGATAAGATGTATAAATGATTATAGATGGTTGGCTGGTTGGCGGTTTCAATCTATGCCAGAAACTAACTGTAGTCAGTTAGGATCATGATTATGATACCAAGTTGGGGATCATGATTATGAAACCAAATATCATTGAATGTCAAGAAACAAATGATCCACCAAGCAGTTTCAAACTTTTTCTGGTGTAAAAAACCATGGCCATGGACAGGTCACTAATGCGGAGACACATCCAGTTCATGGGCAGGATGAGGGCTTACAACGAAAATGGTTGAACATCTCCATTCATGCATGTAAAACCTGCATTGTGAACCATCTTGAGTAAGTGAAATCCTGATTTCCTAGAATATTCCCCGTGGTATCGCCATTCTATGCATAATTTCTAGATCAGAGTTGTGTATGATTATATAAGCTAATTAAGCGCAAGGAAAGTCATACGTCCCTTCCACAAGGCCCCCGAAAAGGATGGCCTGTAGCGCCTTCACTTGTTGAGCTAAGGAGTCTTGACCTCGAGACGATGATTCAGTGCTGCAGGAAGCTTCCAGGAATTCTATAGAAATCGCTATGGAACCCAAATAGGTTTTAACACATCTCCATGAACTGTGCGGGTCAGCGTGCTTGGTTCAGAGGAGATCTTCAACTCATCACAACCAAGACATTGAAAAGCCTGCGCGCTGCAAACTGATCTACCAGATGTCGGCATACTTAACACGCACTGAGCACACAAACACAAACACACTAAAAAGACAATAGCAACTGAGGCTTCAATTTGCACTGATGAGCAATTATCTGCACATGTGATGCAGCAGCTACAAATAAGCAAGCATTCGCTATTTACTTGCCAACTCCCAGTTCAAAAATATACACATCAGCTGTAATGATCTGAAGTTTTGAGAGTTAAATGCACATTTCATTTTTGGTGATTTCAAGGCAGGCCGATGGCAGTCATTCAGCATATATAGAAAGTGTTCTTAAGAAACTTCTACAATGAACCCAGCTGTTCCAAGGGCGCCTGCAAGAGGAAACAACTACTCATCCCATTATCTCATGTTCTTCTTCCAGAACTGGCACATGCTTGAACTGGCGTGAATCACCACAGGAAGGAGGGCCCAAAATGGGCAAGTTGGTTTGTAATGTCAAAACATAGTTGGAAAACAGTAATCCCACAAGATTTGGGGGCCACTATATGGGCAAAGTCCATGACGGTCAGATGTCTTTGGCTGCTGTTTTTGCCGGTAATGGTCAAGGCAAATTGACCAGCATGGGAAAGGCGATCGTTTTTTTCCAACAGGTGCCCCAAAGACTATTACAGATTACTGTACCCTCTGGTAAAATGACATTGCAATGGAAAATCAACCTCTTAATGACTAAATCATCTATGGTCCATTTCCCATAGCTATGTTATTTTTTACCAGAAAGTATTACATATTTTTGTTGTCCCTAGGTCCCTAACGTTCTGAGGTGCCGGAGTTCACTTCCGGGCGTCCAAGTTGCTGCCCGGATCGCTGATCTCGGGAGCTCTCAAGGGGCTGTAGATGCTCTGAATCAGCGGAACGGAACCGTGACCTTGGCGCACAGCGCCATCGCAGCGAGTGGCGGCCCTTCCAGCCACATAACTGGTATAGACTATAGACTCTACAATATGTATATTGTACAAACTAGGCAAGACATCTTGTGCATGCTGGATCTCTTGTATTCTCTTGTGGTATATCATGTGGTATCTTCAACCTTTCAGCGACTCATTGCTAATCTTGGGTATATTCCTGCCACGAAATGATTTCTAGCTGGATAATGAGATAGTCATATCATTATCCATAGCTAACAATAAACTACCCTTGGCAAGGTTTACCCACTCCTTGCAGACGAGGCACTTTGTAAGATAAGTCGATGATTGGCAATGGGAGACGTAACAGGTTCTGCCGTCTGCAGGTTTTGCGCGCTCCTTGGGTGTCTCATTGATTTGCGGTCAGCAAGGTTGATGAACATCTGGGACAACAATGGGGGGTATAGACTAACACTCACATGTAAAGGAACACATGGACAGACCACCAACACGTATGAACATGTGTCAACAGTAGTAGGCAAGATGGGCAAGTGAAGGTCTTTGGAATGTGGGACAAGTGGAACTACCAAACGGTCTATGAAACACCTACAAACAAAGACGCCAGGACAACTTTTTGCATAAGTATGGCTCATTCATTGCGACTTCACATCAAGCACAAAAGAACAGCGGATATCTTTTGGGCAGCTCAAACTCTGGACATTTCCGCAAAAATACAACTCCACCCTTCGGGTTCGAGTCAATCTAGACCTGCAACCAGAAACCTGGCTTTCGCACATGTCCTGCCCTACCTGTTAGTGTTGAAATGTCTATCGCTCTGGCTATAAACACTGTCATCTTCATACCTGCCAGTTGTCAAACATGACATTGGACAGTTTTCCAACTTTCAGGTATCTACATGCATGGGCGATGTTCCCTCCAAGCAAGATCGATGCCCCGCGCACAAAAACATATCTGAAGCGTGCCAATAGGGAAAAGAAACACATAGCATAATGAGTGTACGCAATTATCATCAGCCCAAAAGGGTTTAGAAACATTTCTAAGCATTGTTTTGACCATGGCGTGGCCGACCACGTAAAAAATGCCACCACACCAACTTAACTTCCACAATATTCCATTATATCCATTTATATTCCACAATGTATTACATGATATGCCATCAAAATATCCCCACTATATAGTGTATATAAATATATATATATATATATCTATCACTATTATAGCCCACATAAATACATATGTATATATGTATACATACATGCATGCATACATAACAAAACAAAACAAAACATAAGATAACATTACATTACATTACCATAAATAACCATACATTACATTACATTACGTTACGTTACATTACATTACGTTACGTTACATTACATTACATGACGCTACACTACGCTACACTACACTACATTACATTAGGTTACATTACATTGTATTACACTACATTACACTACACTACGCTACACTACACTACATTACATTACATTACGTTACGTTACGTTACATTACATTACATTACGTTACGTTACATTACCTTACATGACACTACACTACGCAACACTACACTAAATTACATTAGGTTACATTACATTACATTGCATTACACTACATTACACTACACTACGCTACACTACACTACATTACATTACATTACATTACGTTGCGTTACGTTACATTACATTGCATTACATTACATGACACTACACTACGCTACACTACACTACATTACATTACATTACATTACCTTACGTTACGTTACATTACATTACATGACACTACACTACGCTACACTACACTACATTACATGAGGTTACAATACATTACATTGCATTACACTACATTACACTACACTACGCTACACTACACTACATTACCTTACCTTACGTTACGTTACGCTACATTACATGACATTACATTAAGCTACATGACACTATACTACGCTACATTACACTACATTACATTACACTACGTTATGTTACGTTACATTACATGAGACTACACTACGCTACACTACACTACATTACATTACATTGCATTACACTACATTACACTACACTGCGCTACACTACACTACATTACATTACATTACGTTACGTTACGTTACGTTACATTACATTACATGACACTACACTACGCTACACTACACTACATTACATTACATTACATTGCATTACACTACATTACACTACACTACGCTACACTACACTACATTAAATTACATTACATTACATATATATATATATATACACGTATATTGTATATTATAAGTACGTACGTTATAGATCCTCAAGTTGGTTTCTCCGAGTTTCATGGTCTGCGCCCTCGGTGATCCCGGCGCCATGACCAGCCGATGCCTCGGCATGACCTCCGGCGTGGGTGGCAACGTGGGCGCCGCGGGCGCCACCACGTAGCCACGGGGGGAGACCATGGTGGGCTGCAACGGGTGGAGAATCCTTAGTGGTTCAGATGGGCAGATGTGGAAAAAAGGACCCTTAAGCTTGGAAACATGGAGATCGGAGTGGATGAAATAGCGAAAAACTGAAAATGTGATCCTGTTGCCAAGATTCCGACGTGCTCACAAACATGGATGTTAGGAATCTAGCGCTTAGGTCTGGTTGGTTGGATGTCGCTCCAATGATTCTTATTGACCCCCATCCAGGTAAAGGAGAAATGTGACAATGAAGAAAGTGTCCATCCTTGATAAAGGTTTTGAATCCATCAACCCCAAGGTATGAGACAAATATTGCTGTGGGAGGTACCTTTGCGGGGCACATCCCGTTTGCATTTGGTGCTGTGCCCGAGTTAGCAAGTTGGTTCTCACCCCAGTTACAAGTATAGGGTAAGTAGGGTGAGTCTGGTGATAACCTGGTGATAACCGGGGTTTTCATCCACTGGGGTGAACTACAGAGTAAGATTCAGTAAGATGTGTTTTTTCCCATTTGGACATCCGGATTCTCCAAGCCGCCTCCTTCAACGGATGGTCGGGGGTTCGCTTGGAGCGCCGGAAAGTGGATCGCTTCGAGCACCGGAAAGTGGATCGCTTGGAACGCCGAAAAGTGACACGCACAAACACATAAGAGATACATAGCGCTATAGCTACATATAGACACAGATCGAGACATAGACGCATAAACACGTAGTGACATTGATAATGCACGCAGGTACACATTCCAGGCGATCCGCCTTCCGGCCCGAAATCAACCAGTAGTCCCTCCAAGTAACCGAACCCGTGTCCCAGGTCCTGTGTCCCCAAGTTGAGCCCTGAAGGTCTGATTCTCTGGTTCTGATCCGCCATGCTTGTTCCCACACCCACCCCACCTGCCCGTTAAACCCACCTAATGTCCCAGTCCCAGCCACCTGTCCTTCAAACCCACCCCAGCTCCCTGTCCCCAAGTTAAACCCTAAAGGTCTCATTCTCTGGTGCTCTAAGTGATCCCATGGTGCTCTAAGTGATCTGGTGCTCTAAGTGATCCGCTTTCCGGTGCTCTAAGTGATCCCCTAACCTCCTTCAACTGGAAGATTTAATCCATTGCAGCAGGCCGAAGCAACCGTCCCCAACGTTCACCAAACATGGGTTTAGTCATGTAATTATGAACTATCTCTAACCCGAGTTTTATTTCTGGGCCTAATGCCATGTGGCAAAAGCGTAGTCTACGCATTCTTGGTACCAATCCCCTCCAAAAACTAGAGGTTATATCAGATGTATATCCCTGACTATCATTGAAATCCCCTACTTGTGGTCAATCCTACTCAGCCTGTAGCTAAAAGATGCTAAAAGTATCTACAAATACCAGTAGCACAGTTGTCCATTTATGAGTGGGGCTGCACCTCCCTGGGCAAATTCGGTGAAGCACTGGGTGTTCCCAGAAATGAGGAGATTATCAGTCATCACCGATTTCCAACTAAGTGGGCTGGCCGTCAGAGCCATCAAATTGCTATAGTGATCACTTTCGCCTAGAATCAAACTATTGCACACTGCTGTATTGCACGATCCTCCAAGTACTGGCACTGGAAAATCCCAAGTCACGCAATCCAACTAAATCTACCATCAATCCCAATGAAGTAGTTGGACTGGACGCTGCCGGAGCTTCGGTCCCGGACTTTGGTAGCGCACTTGCACCTGCGGCTGCACGGACTGCCCGGGCTGCGCAGGCATCAGTGCTGGCGCATGCCCGGCCTTGGAGCCAGCAGTTCGTAAATGGGGCTATAAACCAGTCATTTACGGACAAAAAAAGGCTTAGCGGACTTCCAAGGTTTTTCACCATTTACTAAGTGGGGTGATCCTTCAATACTCCTGAACATCTCCTGAATCATGAGGCGCTGTGAAGCCTCGTGTCTACATAATAATGTCCAATCTGACCTTTTTTCGGCCGTACAATATTGAACGCCAGGTTGGCTCCGTATCATGATTTGACCATGTTCGCCCATGGGGTCTAGGGTAACCTCCTGGGGGAGCACTCCCAGCAAAAGGGGCCGGCGTGAATAGAGCAGCTTAACGGCTGTCACCTGCAGCCCAGCGACCACAGGGGCCATGGGGGCCACCATCTGCTTGCCAGGCAGGTTGGTCTGCAACACCGCACCTGGTGGCATGGTCTCAGTAGGAAAACGGAAACCTTGGAAGCCAACAAAAAAACAGGTTATCCTACTATAGTTACTATATGTTTGGGAAAGCCTGCTACAAGGTGGCGCCCCATAGTTTGTTAAGCTGCTTTATAACCCCAATATATAACTAGGTTTTGTGGTACATATGTCTAATATATTCTAATATTACACACAAACACCGAGGTTTGCCCAAACCCAGAATAGCGTAAATACCAAAGAATTCTGTACGAGTACGATGTCAAACAACGGGAAGGATTTTGTGTTCAATTATATTGTTAGGGTGTTATCAAGAATATGTTGCTCCTACATATCATATAATACGAACATGTCGCTTCATCCTATGGAATTAATCATACAGTCCGCAAGGTGTCCTTTAGAGTTTCAAGAAGATATCAAAATCCCCTGGCCCCATGGAACACTTAATCATACAATCATTAGGGTCTCGTACACAGTTTCAAGAAGACATCAAAATCCCCGCGGCCAAACAGTTAATCATACAGTCATTAGGGCTTCTTATAGGGTTTGAAGAAGATATCAAAATTCCCCGGTCCCATGGAACAATTAACCATACACTCATTAGGGTTCCTGATAGGGTTTCAAGAAGATATCAAAATTCCCCGGCCCCATGAAACAATTCACAAAACAATATTAAGGTTTCTTTTATGGATTCAAGAAGATATCGAAGCCCCCTGGCTCCATGGAACAATTAACCATACAGTCAGCAGGGTTTCTTATAGGGTTGCAAGAACATATCAAAATCCCCTGGTGCCATGGAACAATTAACCATAAAGTCATTAGGGTTTCTTAAGTGGTTCCAAGAAGATCTCAAAATCATCATCATTATCATCATCACCGCCATCATCATCATCATCATCATCATCATCATCATCATCATCATCATCATCAATATCATCATCATCACCATCATCATCATCACCATCATCCTCAGGACGCTCGTTGCGAGTCCGGACAAACCTCAGGGTCTTGCCGTGGTTAATATCATATACCTAACGATGGTTGTAGACTAACTTATCACTGGGGAAGGGCATCACCTTGTAATACCACGTTATTGAATAGGATTGTCTCTCAAATATTCCTCCTCATCTCTGACCTTACTTGCTTTGATGTTGAATGTCTTCTTCTTGCACAAAATGCTGATCACCTCTTGGGAAATCCTCAACTCACATGATTAGCCCGGCATGTCGGCATCTCTATACTAAGGACAGGTAGTCAGGTAGTCATCTATATATATATATATATAGTCATTTTGCTGAGATTCGCCATTCTTGCTGGAACCCCCTCTTCCGGTTCTGTGAAGTTTTCCCACGCAAAAGCGTAGCTTAGTGAGGCACTCAGGGACTGAAGTCCTGCGTGCTGTCGTGGGGAGGCCACAACCTCAGCACAATATGCAACCCATCGATGCAATAATCCCCTCAAAAAAAGGCCAAACTGCTGGAGAATCGAAGGGTATGGGCACATCACCTTGACAGCAAACGAGTGAACCAACAGGGGTACCCTGCAGGGACCTTCGAACCAATGCACACAACGTGCTGTGTCCCCAATAAGTTGGCTGTTAAATGTTTATAGTTACCCGAGGTCTTTTTTTTGGATAACGACTTAGGTTGTTGACTTCTGTTTGAGATATCGGTCAGAAAAGGTAGTTCTTGACCAAAGCCGCCAAAGCGCATACTTGTGCAGTTTTCCTATGATTTCTCTTGTTTCATGTCATGCTGCCTTCCCATTTTACACATCTAACGTCATCCAAATCCTCTTGCAGTTGAATTTTCTAGTGTGGGCCATTGATAGAACGAAATGATGCAATGACAAGTGGCCCCAGATCGACAGGGTCAACCACCACCCTCCATCCACCATAAGCGAACAACATCGAAACGCTAAACTCTGACCAGCCATGTTAGCTGGTCCATCGGCTTTGAAGTGTCATTCGCGGACTCTTTGGCTCACAATTTCTTGGTTTATGTGCGTTTTTGCGTGCGATGTGCACGTTTTATGTGAAACTTCGCACCTACAAAAGCCTTCAGAACTCCTTCAAAGACCTTGAAAAGCACTACCAAAACCATCAAACCCCTACAAATCCCAAAAACTAGGTCACTTTGCTTTTTGAATGGCTTTGACAATATGCCTCACAGAAACATGGCACTGAACCGGTGCCTGTGCACATCACCATGCCGACGGGGGTGCAGGTGGTGGTGGGGGAGTGACAGAAAATCCCTGGCTGCAGTGGAGGGCATAAAGTTCACGACCAGTTTTTTGGGAGATAATGACCAAAACACGTAGCTTGTTAAATGAGCGCCCAGAAAGAAGTAGAACATAGTAGAACGCTAGAGGATACTAGAAGTCGACCAGAATTTCCTGACATTTTGAAGACCTAGGATAACAGTGCATAACCCCCATCAGCTATAGATATATTCACCTGTAACTATAGCTATTGGAGTTCTAGACCAACTTCGCTAAATAAATGTTGTAGTACTTCCCAAATATCTCCAAGACGTGTAGCACTTCTGATCACAGCTGGTGGTGGTTCACCAACCTAAATCCGCCAGTGTCCTCAACCGTGGCTGGCTGGAAAATGCCCGCGCTGAATTGATGTTTTTTTTTCCCCACCTGCCAGGTGAGGGTTGTTAGATTTTATGTCAGTTGCCTCCTCCTCCTCCTCCTTCTCCTCCTCCTTCTCCTCCTCCTCCGCCTCCTCCTGCCTCGTCCTCCTCTCCTCCTCCTCGTCCTCCTCGTCGTCCTCGTCGTCCTCGTCGTCCTTGCTCAACTGCGACCCGCGATCCACAGTGTTCTCTGCCGGACCTCAAACACGACCATCCACGCCCAGTGTTCCCTGCCGGACCTCAACCACGACCATCCACGCCCAATGTTCCCTGCCGGACCTCAACCACGACCATCCTCGCCCAGTGTTCCCTGCCGGACCTCAACCACGACCAACCACGACCATCCACGCCCAGTGTTCCCTGCCGGACCTCAACCGCGAGTATCCACGCCAAGTGTTCCCTGCCGGACCTCAACCGCCAGTATCCACGCCAAGTGTTCCCTGCCGGACCTCATGAGATATGCCAGATAGAATGCCAGAAGATATGCCAGATGGAATGTCAGATAGAATGCCAGAAGATATGCTAGAAGATATGCCAGATAGAATGTCAGATAGAATGCCAGAAGATATGCCAGATAGAATGCCAGAAGGTATGCCAGATAGAATGCCAGATAAAATGTCAAATAGAATGCCAGAAGATATGCCAGATAAAGTGCCAGAATGTTTGCCAGATAGAATGCCAGAAGATTTGCCAGATAATATGCCAGAAGATATGCCAGATAGAATGCCAGATAGAATGCCGGAAGATATGCCAGAACATATGCCAGGTAGAATGCCAGAAGATATGCCAGAAGATATGCCAGATAGAATGCCAGATAGAATGCCAGAAGGTATGCCAGATAAAGTGCCAGATAGAATGCCAGAAGATTTGCCAAATAATATGCCAGAAGATATGCCAGATAGAATGCCAGAAGATATGCCAGAAGATATGCCAGGTAAAATGCCAGAAGGTATGATAGATAGAATGCCAGAAGGTATGCCAGATAGAATGCCAGATAAAATGTCAGATAGAATGCCAGAAGATTTGCCAGTAACAAAATGTACAAATGTCATGGTGGGGATCACACGAAGTAAAGTAATTTTTTAAATGGATTTTATGGGAAATCATCGAACTCTATGGTGGATTTTCCAGCTAGCCACGTTTGAGGACACCGGCAGGTACCTGAAAATCCATAATGGCCAATTGGGGAGATTGGGAGAGTACCTTTCTGACATGTTGATCCCCTGCTCAACGGGTTCATCCTTGTGCGGGATCCGACAATTCTTCGGCCCTTGAGAGGGGCATAGGAATCCTTGTGAACTGACGACCATCCCGTCAACATGGGTATCTCAGTATCTCATCCAACTATTGACTTATGTAGTTGCTAAAAACATATATAGATTATATATATATATATAAACTACATGCACACCCATGAATATCCCGTTAAATCACAATGTTGAATGATTATATACTTGCTGGGTAGGAACCCCCAGGCCAAGCTACTACCGGGCCCAAAGGCAGCGGTGGAAATCTGCTGGGAGAGACACCCCTGGAGAAACGTGGCGCGCAAGGACTACACGACAGGTGGACAAGTGATTTTACGGTGCTGTCAACAACTTTCAATCCATCCCAAATTGCCAAAGCAATGAGTAAATTTGCTTCATCCGAAGTAAGATGGACAACAAAGAGACGCAAAACCACAGCAAAATGTAGACATCTATAGGCTAGGTCAGCCTGTCCAAATAGTTCCATCCTGGGTCAGCTCCAGTGCACAGTAGATGCCGCTCAATTCCATTACAGTGATTGAAATGCTCGTAGAAACCAGCAAAACCCACCTGACTTCGTTGGTCCATCTCAGGGTTGAATACGCATGAATGATGCGGGTAGAACAAAAAATGAATGATGTGGGAAACCCAATAATACCAAAACCCCTTATAAATAGTAGCTTTGCCTGATGGGATCTGGGCTGGCCGCGCGTCCGCCCGGCGGCAGATGCAGCGAGCCAGCGGGGCTCGCGGCCATCGGAGGCATCGGGGCCATCGGAGCCGGAGCCCATCGAGGGCTGGCGATGGGCTCCATCATGGCGCGCGGCGGTGCCGCCCCAGTGAGGTGCCTTTTTTGTATATTTCACCCCAAAATGAAAGCAAAATAAGCAAATAGAATCAAGTAGAATCAAATAGGTCTGGAAACCATGAGATGCAGGAGCTAAAGAAAATTACATGTTGTATAATGTCTTTTTTGAATGTTAGTGAAAGTGGGTCTTCTGCATGGAAGAATAATGAAGAACAGGTGATTTTCAGGTTTTAAGTATATATCTGAATGGCAAGTAGTCTT